GTTGTACACACGGCACAGATCAAGTTACTCAAATCCAGTATAAGCGGGACTCCGACGGGTTACCTAAGTATGATAATACGCAAGGCGCGAGTTCCATTTATGCTGGTTTTGGGTAACTTGATCTGTGGCCATGTGTACTTTATCAGATAAAAAAAAGGATTGTGTATGTAGGTTGAACGTACCAATCCCAAACCAATTAAGGACTTTTTTTGACTTTAAATTACTGTCATGTGCAAACCTATAACTTTTATCTATATTATAATAAGTAGCGTGTGATGAAAGGTAGGAATGATTCCACTTTAATGGCGACATTTTATGAGTGAAATAATCTTATTTAATGAAATTTCAACATGAAATTGAATGAAATTATGAACAATGAAATTTCAGAGTACATGACAAAATTTTTTTTTTGCACATGTAAATTTACACATGACAGTAATTTGAAGTCAAAAAACGTTTATCCTACCTGTTCAAATCCCTTTCCACTAAATCATAGCAGGAAATTAAATATTTAAAATTTAAAACTTACCTTAATGTAATAGCGAGCCTCTCAATCGGTTGTATTGTAATCCTTCGTAAACTGCTTTTTTGTAGCTTATTCTCAATTTTACACAACAGTTCATCAAAAGAACGAATGGACATTCGAAAGTAATTTTTAAATTTACGTTCATTATTTTGTAGTTTTCCAAAGCGTGTAACAAACGCCCCAGCAAGAAGCCTATTTTCAAGAAAGGGATCAACATGTACTCTTGTCTTCTTGTTTCGTCGTTTGTAAAGTATGTAAGCGACACATATTCTTCTGACATTGATCATTTTTGAACACGTCTGTACCGTTACGCAGCCCGTAGAAAACTGGAAACTCATGCTGCGTATGATCCGCAGCGTGAAATTTTACGCATGCGGTCCAATCCCGCGTGCGTGAGCAAATCCGCGTGACACTAAAAGCGCCCTTACTGCCAGTTCTCAAATCAAGGGCGTAGAACGGAAGAGAAGAACTGGCAATAAACTCTCCGCCACTTTTTTTTAATCGCCATGTTCTTTTTTATAGCCATAGTTATATTCTAAAGCTACTAAAAAACCACTGCTTTAAGCCACAATAATAACAAAGTGTGCAAATTTATATTTATATAAGGCATGCTTCAAAACGACAAATGTAAATTTATCTTTTACAGTAAGTGGGGGCAAGATGAAAAATGGGGTAAGACAAAAAATCCCCTATAACACCAAGTTTAACGTATTTTTTGAGTGCTGGTATTTTTATTAAAACCGCCAGTTTCTAACGTTACAAACCACATTCGAAATTAGCCGCCCAGAGTGCGTAAATTTGAATAATTTCTGCGTCGTCATTTTTTCGTAAAATCTTCAAGTGATTTAATCTTATGTGTGCTGTGACTTTAATTACAAGATAGGTGCGACTATTTCAATATTTAATTATAGTTTTTTGTTGTGAAATCACATGTAAATACGGCTATTTTAGAATATGCAAAGATAAGTAAATATTAAATAAATTAAAATTCGATTTTAACTATCTTATCTTAGTATCTAAACTTTTACTTAAAATAATTTTTTACTTTTGAAATTAAATAAAAAGGTATCAGAATAGATAGAAATATTTTATGAATTATGGTTGAAGGTTTATAGGGAAATTAATACCAATTGTTTTATTCAGTAACCATGCTTCGTAACTACGTCCGGAAATATTTACGTGAAACATCTTATACTCAAGGCGATGTGGCAGAAGCCATAGAAAAAGTAAAAAGAAAGGTTTTGACGTTTGGAGCAGCAATAATCAATGGCCTTAAAGTTTTGTAAAAATGGGGTTTTGGGCTATCTAGAAAAGAAGTACCTAATTTTTCTCATGGAACGCTATATTACCCCATTTAAGGACGATGTTCCAGCAACAGATTGGTTCACTGAATTCTGTATACGTCATGGACATTCTCTGAAGAAACTCGCTTGAACATTGCATTTTTTCACTAAAGTCAGATGTGAGTTTTCAAGTAACTAAAAGCATTGGACCTTGACGACATGTCACATTAATTTTAACGATTTTAGAAAAAAAAATCAATCTTTCCCCGTCAAGTTTTCATCTTTACCCTATTTTGAAGTCGTATCTTTATTTTTTTATTTACCTATTTTCTCTCCTTTGGAACTGATTTAACAATATTATGTTATTGATAATATGATAGAAAAATATAGTTTTTACTCTATACTAATCAAAGCCATAAATTAGTACATGTTAACATTTATTGTTCTACAAGAGGTTCAAACACAACTCTGCTCATCTCATCAAAAAACCGTTTAATCTTCCCCCCACTCACCTTATAGGTATAATAAAAATTTGACGAAAGAGCCAAATTTATTTTATTGATTCTAGATGATCATAATGACTCACAATACCCTTAAAAGTTTAGGTATGTGCCAGATCTGCCATTTTATGCAACGTGTTTTATGGAATAGCTTCTATAAAAATATACGTTATTATTAGATTTGCCATATAATGAAGTTTCAGAGAAAATAAATTATATTATGGTTTTATAGGTACAAAAGTTGTAAGTATTTTCAGTCCTCTATTTTCTTGTGTCTTTGAATCAAGCCATCTGAAATTTTGTTAATCATAGTCGCAGATGAAGTATAATTCTTTTACCTCTTCTTCTTACGTGGACAAATTAATATCATCATCATCATTACGTGGACTAATCATTAAAGTGACATTGACAGTACCTAATTTCTTCTTCTACCTAACTTCCGGTTAGATAATACTTAAATTTATTTAACTATTTCCTAGTTACCACAAAATAATTTCTATGCTATCGTATTCAGTATTCTAATTTCTAACCTATTTTTTCCTTCCAATTAACTTTATTGTAATGATGTCTTATCAAAAAGTAACTCATGTTCTATTTGATTTGGATGGACTTCTGATTGGTAAATTTTGAATTTTATACATGATTAAAACTTTGCGTTGAACTTGGGCACTGTGCACATTAAGCTTACGTACACTCCATTTACAGATTCAGAAATTTTTTACACACAAGCATTTACAAATGTTTGTGCAATGTATGGTAAAACTTTTACATGGGAATTGAAAAAGAGCCTACTTGGATTCCAAGGCCGGGAATGTGCGGAAAAAATAGTAGAAACTTTGGACCTTCCACTTACAAAATCGGATTTTGTGCGTGAATGTCAAAAACATTATGAGGTTTTATTCCCTAATGTTGCACTAATGCCAGGTATGTTCTAATTATTAATTATTAGTTAGTATATGTGATTATATAGAGATATATTTTTGATTATAGAAAAACAGCTCCTGTAGCTGTTTTTCTATAATTGTGTGTTCTCATTCTGTTTGTAATTGTAATTCTGTTTTCTATAATTGTGATTTATTATTATAGTCCTGTTAATTAGTTTGTAACGTTTGAAGCTTATTTAGAAATAACTCTATGGTTTTTCAGGAGCTCTACAACTGGTTGAACACTTAAGGAAGACAGGAGTTCCTATAGCAATTGCCACCAGCTCCAGTGAAGAAAGTGTAAATAAGAAAATGCAGAGCCATAAAAGATTTCTTGATAACTTCCACCACCTGACTATGGGCTCTTCTGACCCAGAAGTTAAACAAGGAAAGCCAGATCCATCTATATTTCTTGTCTGTGCATCTAGATTCCCAGATAAACCAAGACCTGAAGCTGTAAGTACAGTATATTTACTACACATAACAGGTAAACATATGTAACACAGACTTACTATATTAACTGCTGTCAACCAGTAATATCTTAATGTTCTAAAATCATTTGTCCCGGTACATTGATAGAATTGATTACATCATTAAATGACCAGCTAGCTAACCAGTTTGATTAATTTATTATCATATACAAATAGTTAATTTAATTATTTGCTTCCGACAAAATTTTTTGTCTTTAGAACTGACCTGTAAGGTTTACCTAATCTGTGCATTTATCTTTTGCCTTATCAATTATTTATTATGTGGTGCGAAATCTGCATTAATATCAAACAAAGTGAATTTCTACATGAAACATCTTAAAAAAGTACCACCCCATTTCTTTATATAAAGTTAAAATCAGTATAATAAAAATATAGTTTATAAAATGGCCAAAATTTGTGTATAATAATGAATATTAGTTACACACTAGGTATTCTGACTATTAATATTTCTTGAATTATTGACAATTGTATAATCTGTCTACATAATAACTTGAAATTAACTTTCAGTGCTTGGTATTTGAAGATGCTGTTAATGGTGTTAAAGCAGCTTGTGCAGCAAACATGCAAGTTGTTGTTGTTCCTGACCCTCGAATAGAAAAGAAGTTATTGAAAGATGCCACACTGGTACTTAATTCTTTAGAAGAATTTCAACCGGAGCTTTTTGGTTTACCACCCTTTCCAAACTAATATAAAAACGTCTGACAAAATGTATATTATATACATAATACAGTAAGCAACACCTTTATATAGTTAGATTGTCATGTACAAGCTTAGTTAGTCCGTGATATACCTCAAATATATTTTAACAGCATTTCTTAGATGTGCTTTCCTATTGTATGACTTTTTTTAAATATTACAATGTATGTTAAAACAGTGAAACTGTTATATATAAATATATTTTTAAGAGTAATGTGTATTACAGAAATAATTCCTTTTACTTACTCTTATCATAAAACATAGTTGAAAGTTAGTGCTGTGATTATTTATTTACAATATTATTTCCATATAAAAATAATGGTGACAAATACCATACCAAGTTTAAACCATGTTTTATGAAAAGATAGTATTATAATTTGACCGTCTCGATTTAAAACTGAAAATAATATTAATTTTTTTTTTTCGTTAAGGTTGTTATTGTTTATATTATTTTTCAATAAAATATTTATTTTAATTTTTATATTATATTAATTTTACAACACAGATAAAATTTGTTTAAACAACATAACATGTTTTATTCATAAAAAAATTATAAACTTGTTTAATTATATTTGCACTTACTACTCTTGTATTGGTGGGAGACCAAACAATTCTGGTTTAAAATGCTCCATTGATTCAATGATCAGTGTAGCGTCAGAAGCCAATGAATAGTCTAGGCGAGAATCTGGTATTAATACAACTTGCATGCCAGCTGCAGTAGCAGCCTGTACCCCATTTAATGAATCTTCAAAGACCAGACACTAAAATGATATAAATGTGAATAAATTAGTAGGTTTGGTAGCCATTATCCTAAGTGAAGGTTATCTAATACATATCAGTGTGGATATAATATTATTGATTTGTTTTTTACTTTTAACATATTAATAAAACAAGTTCTTTTTAAACATTCAGTATAGCGCCATCTAGACAGTACTGATGAAAACAAATACATTGCTAGTAAAAATAAGTATTTACTTGTTGAGGTTTAGGTTTCTCGAGAAACTTAGCAGCAGCCGTGTAAAATATATCTGGATGTGGTTTTCCTCTTTTCACATCCGGGTCTGAAGATCCCAATGTTTTATAAGTAAATAAATCAAACAGATCTTTGTGGTTCTTAGTTTTCAATTCATATGTTTCATGACTACTACTTGTAGCCAAACCTAATGGAATATTACATTTGCTTAAGTGCCTAATTAATCTCTCGACTCCTGAAATAATGTTTAATGTGTTTCAAAAATATTTCTTAAAATATATTGTCATGCTTTTAATTTTATGCTTTAGTTACATTACCTGGCAATACTGAACATAGTGGAAATAAATCGTTAAAAATTTTTCGCGTCTCAACTAGAAATTCATCTACGGACATGGGTAATTCCAGCGCCTCGATTATTGATTTTGCTAATTCTTTACTTTGTTGACCCATTATTTGGCATTTTAGTTCAAACGTAAAAAGTTTTCCATACCGCGAAGCAATTTCTTGAAAACCCATTGTGTAAAGATCTTCAGTGTCTAGAAACATTGAAATATAGTTAAAAATAAATGCATGTAGTTTCTATATAAATTATCAGGAAAATTTCAAAATGTACAATAGTTGTCATTTTGTTTTAGATTGAAACTTACTTAATATCAACCCATCCATATCAAATAACACATGAGTAACAGGTTTAAAAGTCATGTTTCCTATATAATATTATTAAATCAAAAAGGAAAACACTAGTTTAATTGCTACTACAGCTGTTACATTACAATTTTGCGATAAATTAAATAAATGCGATTACATAATCATGTTTGTAGAATACGTATAAGATGTTGGTTACAATGATTACAATCACACTAATAATATAACAAGAATAAATTTCATATAGCCAACATTTAACCTTGATTCATCACAGTAATATCTCTTATCTTATAATATGACCAGTCGCGAGTATCTCTATCTAGTCATAACTGTTTTAATTTATTTTTATTTCGAAAAATTTAGTTTATTTAAAAAACTTATTAAAATTAAGACACCTTATGTATATTTGTTTGTATTTCTACATTACGAAGGTTGCTGACTCGATTTTTCTTTATCTACCCTCTACTTGAACTATGAGTTATGACTGTGACTTTAATGTTCCTTAGGGTGAGATTAAAAAACGAGACTAAGCTTAAGACTTCCCTAATGTCAAAATCCAGTGCATTTTTGACGATTGATTGATTTTATCCAGGACTTTTGTGGATGCCACGGGGCTGACCGTGAATCTGGTCCTTTATATATGTATGTTATATGATCAAAATAACGGAAAAACGCAACCCGACTATAATTTTATTGGTGCATATGTAGTGAAAGAAACGTGAATGCTAGAATTTAAAAAAAAATCAATGTTTGTAGAAATCTTTTGTTTGGGTATACGAAAAGAGTTGGTAAAGTAATTTATTGAAAAGGTGCATATTATATATGGCTGATTCTGCGTTTTTTTTATAATTAATCAATCTGAATGTAAATAAACGATTTATTATTATACGATCTTAATTGTATAAAATATTATGCTTAATCCTTATCGGGAATAAATCGTATTGTTTGCTGTTTGCGTTATGTCGTTATACATCTGTGAAGAAAAGTGGTATAATCTATGCCTCTAATAACAGAAAAGATTTTGTTGTTTATGGTTTGTTGATTGTTTTATCGAAATGTTGTGGTTCTGAAATCTATAAAAGATTAATCTAATTTCTTTATAAATGTTTGTTCTCAAGATTAGTTGTTGCTAATGAATTTAAAAAACATTAAATATTTATTACTCATCATATTCCACGCTGTAAACACACTTAAAGCCATTTAAAATGGCAATAGTTTATGCTATCTGAGTTATAATTTATCTTGATGTAAATGTCTAAATCGTGTAAGTTTGGAAAGTTTCAGTTCTTGTACTTACAATGGAAGGCCCTGGAATGAGTTTATTTAAAGGTGCTGCAAGCATTCACATAAATAATAGTGCTCAAGATAGACTAGAAGAACAAGAAGAACTTGAAGATCAAAAAAGGCGGGATGCAGAGGTAAACTTAAAGGAAACTACTCTGTTTCTAGTGAACATTTGAAGTAATTATACAAACAATCGTTATGTTTAATATTGGTTTCATTTTACAGTTAAAACATAAACTTGCGAATGCTTTTGATGATCTTCAAGATGATGACGAAGCAAGCTCTGTAAACAGCAGCGGAAACTGCACCTTGGACCATACAAATGCAAATAGTTAGTTTTTAATAGTTATTGTGTACAGTAGAAATTCATTAATGTCTAACTGCTTTCTATGCATGCACGACGTTATCGTGCAATCCAAATTTACTGATTTCCTTAACTAATTATTATCCTATCCCCTATTTAAATCTAAACTAATAGGGCTTAGTTTTATTATTGTATCAAAATATTTTTGTACATAAATAAGCAATAACAATAATAAACCTATATATTTTCATACCAGGAATTACACTTGAACCTGTTATATATTTCAGATAAACAATTTGCAACAGACAACAAATATGGAACTGGCCTCTTACCAACATACACTGAATCCATTAACACATTTAAAGAAGGCATGCCTCTGTCTCATTCAACAAAATTATATTGTGATACACCTAAAAGTCATCATATACAACACATGAGGAATCAAGATGAGCCAGTAAAACTTCAATATAGTCCCTATGGTGCAGGTGATGGACAGAATCATTATTATCCACAAGAGAGAGGTAAATAATATAATACACTATAATTGTACTATTATGAAATACAAGGACTATGTATAATACCATAATATATTTTTTTTTAAATTTTCAGAACACCTGAATGGCTATGGGACAGGACAAGGGTATAACAAGAATTATGAACAACTTAAAGTTATGTATGAAGTAAGTTTTATAGGATAATATTTTTCAGTATACCTATTTTATATTATTGTATCTATTGAATGCCAGAGCTAAGCCAGGCTTTGTCTCTTGGGTCAGTAGGTAAATAATAATACTTGAATTTTGCATAGGGTATAACAATATTATAAGATAGGGAATCATACATACTTACATGAAAAAATAAATATATTGTTATGCTAGGAATGGACTTCTAACTAAAATGCAATATAAAAGAAAACCTTAATCATTATACAACAAACAAAAAAAATATATTTGTTATTAATATAAAAATTATTTTCATATCATTTTCAAATTAATTTAGGGCAGAGTGAAAGAGTTAGAGCAATATGCGGCTCAAATGAAAAACTTAGACAATGAGGTAGAAAGCTTACGAGCTCGCTTAGAAGCTGCCATACATGACAAGGATAAAGCTGAATTCTCATTGCAAGAGGCACATGCATTACTTGGTATGTTGTATAATTATTGTTAATAATTTAATACAATATGTTCTGAATTTTATTATTATTTTATTTTTTTTTTTTTTTTTCTTGCAAGTAGGACTATATAAATCACTTTTACAATGTCTTCCTAAACTAGATGAAGTCGACATTTCCTAACTGACTGCCCTGAGAAGAAATGTCGAAACAAACTCGGGGGTCTTAGTCTCTTTTATAGTCCAGATAATACAATAATAAATTAATAAGTTGGTGTAAACAAATGCAGAGTAATTTACTGGACTGGTCTTTGGAAGAAAGAACCAGATCGATCTGAGCAAGCCTGCGCCAGCAGACGGCTAGCATGCCCCGAATAGCTCATGCAGCTCAACCATTTTTGAGGGAGCTGCACAACCCGGTACACAACAATACCGCCAGAGGCACCATAAAGATATGTGGGGCAACAACTCACTCAGATCGCCAGCCCAAAATAACTATAGACTAAAAAAATATTAACAGTGAAATTAATATAAATATATTTAGTTCTTTAAATAATGTATATTTGTTTCTATATACCTTTAGGAAGTTTTATATTAATATGTACCCACAGTAACCAAAGACACTATTCGTTCTTTTAATGACATAAAACTATAAGTATATTACAAACTAAAAGTAAATAAATTTAAAGAGAGATCTCAATTACTTACACTTAAAACTTAACTACGTACAGAACTTTAAACTGCTTTTGCTGAAACTATGACCCTCATTGTGGGTTTGTTCTTAGCATGTTTTGGTAGCGAGTCATGGCTAAACAATACTTGTTTTGGCTTAGAAGTAGTAAAATATGCAATGGATATGTAAAACTGATGGGTTTCTCTTTAACTATTTTTAACACTAAGCATTATCATTGAAAATTAAAAAAATATATAACAAACGGTCTTTAATGGAATGTTATATATACCACAGAAGAATTGTATTAAGTCACCCACAACACAGGGGCTAGTGTGGCTAGCGTTAAATCAATTTTGGCACAATCATATTTTTTTTATGTTTAAATTTTTATTATTACATATTATTATTATCTCCCCTGAATGATGGATGGATGGATTAGCTAGATTTTTAAATGCTCTCTGTGCATCTATGGAACATAAGTCTATTGTTATATTATTATTAATGTTTGAATTCTCCTTGGATCTATAATTCAGTAGACCACCAATCCGTTTACTTGCTTCTTAATAAATAATATAAATTTTCCAGCATCAAGTAAGCATAAGACAATAGAGTTAGAACAGCAAGTGGGGTCGTTAACACAGAAATTGATGGAAAGTGATGAAGATAAAGAGCAATTAAGGTTGGAGCTCCGGTCTGCGAATATTAGCTTACAAGAGATACAACAAAGGTTGCATACTATGAAGGTAATTAAACTTTTTTCGTGGGATTTAAATTCCTACCATATTATTGTAACATGCTTATTTTTATATTAGTGTTGGCAACTATTGATTTGATTTTTAAGTTTTTATATGTTTTAATGCTGGAGATGCGTAATATTAATGTACATAATGAACGAAATTTTCGTACGTACAAGTATACTCGTACTATAACTATAAACTTACTAATAATCCTCTAATTGCCCTCTTTTGACTGAAGTACTCTTTTATCTCTTTCTGTCAAATTGGGGTTACGCTGTCATGAATAGACCTGAACTAATTACAGGTTTAATTACAGATGTAGTGTAATTAAAGCTGTAATTGGACTTATTTTTACTTTTTATGAATAAGGGGGTAAGACAGATTAAATTTTAATAAATGATACATCTTTAGTACCACGATCATTTTATTTAAATTACTTGACATAATTTTTATTTTATTATAATTTTCGCAGTATTACCTTCCTATATATATATATATATATATAGCCTTAAAATTTTCTTGACAGGTGGCGCACACGCACGATACGGACGCATTATTCAGAGAACAACAAGACAGGTACCATATTGTAATTTTTAATGCCCCAATGGGGCAAGAGGGAAAACAGTTTTACATATTTCAATCGTCATTTTTAAAAGCAAGTAGGTGATGCTTTCTATTCCCAGCAATTCGAAATTGATATGAAGAAGAAAGCTTTATTACTATAAAGTTCTAATATATATTTTGGTTACTTATTTTCAGGTATAGAGAAGAAATGGATAGACTGCAAAATGATTTGATGAAGGCAAAGAGTAGGCTTGATGAAAAGGTAATATATAATATATTATTTGTTAAGATTTTTTAAATAAAAATAGTACGGTTTTTATCTCGGAAAACAGGTTATTTTATGAGTTTGATAAAAATCAGTGGCGCTTGGTCTCGATTTCTGTATCTGGTTCGTAATCTTTCTTCTTAATTGGCAAATAGATGATGAGTCTTCTGTGCCTGACACACCTCGGTTTTTGGGTTAAGGGAGCGTTCAAGTATTACGTAACGAATTTGAGGGGGGGCTTTGTAAAACGTTACGATGCGGGGCGGGGATTTAATTACGCGTTATTGTTAATATTATTTTCGACTTTCCAGTACTTTACGCCACATAATGGTTAACTTTTACGTATAAAGAATCACTAGATGGTCACGAAACGTTTTACTATACTTGGGTACAAAAATTGCGTGACATAATACTTGAACGCTCCCTAAGTCATGCCGGTTTCATCACGATATTTTATTTAATTTCAATATTTTTAAGTATAATTAATGCATTTTGTGCTATTTTCACCAATTGAACATGTCGTTTTCTAGGATAGAGAAATAAAACACCTAGAGAAGAGATGTATGGAACGGGATAGAGAAAAAGAAGAGATTTTAATAGAGAAAGGTGCTACTATAAATCGGCTGGCCAATGAATTAGAAGCGGCACAGACTAGATTGGTCAGTGGGGAGACAGCTCGGTTAAAGGAAAAAGTCAGCCAATTGACCACCGAAAGGAATTCTTCAAGGGAACAGGTTAAAGAGCTTGGGGTAAGTTGCTTTATTAAAGGTTTTTTTGAAAATAACAGTCTATAGTCTTGACTGGACTGGACTATCCAGTCTTACCCCTGACTGGCCCGAAGGCCCCAATGGTCGAGAATTTGTATATATCCGGTCGGAATAACTTCGTTAGCGCGATTGAGGATATGACGTCATCGTAGTGGTTTGTGACCGCAGATTGTAGGCGTCACTACAGTACATAAAAAAATTGGAATTTAGTAACGGAGTTTTACGTAACGAATTTGGGGGGGGGGGGGGGGGAGTGTATGAAAATCATTGTTACGAGTATAGCGGAGTCCGTAATGGGTCCGTTCCGCTCGCAGTGGAAGGCGGGCATTATTGTTAATATTATTTTCGACTTTCCAGTACTTTACACCACATAATGGTAACTTTTAGCTATAAAGAGTCACTGGATGGTCACGAAACGTTTTACTATTGGGTACAGAAAAACGTTACGGCGCGTTACATCGGGGGGGTCAATAATCTCCAAAAATTGCGTGACGTAATACTTGAACACTCAAAATCACAATTTTGCAATGGAATAGCCTTGGTAATATACTACTGAGGGTCAAGGGAGAATACCTATTCAAAAAAGGCCGGAAACGTACTCGCGTTTGTTTTTCTTTATAGGCAAGTAGTGTCTTACCCATATTTTCTTTCATACAAAGAGAACAAGATCGATTAGTTCATAGCTGTGAATAGAATACTTAAAATGTTTTTATGGCTATATTATTATTGATGTATAAATTTTGTCATATTTATCTCGTATTTTTAAGCATGCGTGTGTACCGGGCGAGTTTCAGGAGAGAAATGAGATTTAGGGATTATTTTGACTTCCGTCAAAAACGTACAGGATTTTGACAGTCGGGAGTCATATTTCGTGCTGTCTCCTTTCTTACCTTAAGAACTTTTCAATAAGATAGCGATCCCGTCATTGTAGATAAGGCATTTAATTAGAAACACAGAAGGTTTATATATATTTACTAGCTGACCTGGCAAACGTCGTTTTGCCATGTATATCATTTATAATAAAAAACAGGGGTTGGTCGTAGAGGGGTCAAAATTAGGTATTTTTTAATGCTGTATCATAAAAAGATAAAAAATAAGTAATTTATCTAAAAATTAAAAAAAATAATTTAGGGGTGGACTACCCTTAACATTTAGGGAGATGAAAAATAGATGTTGTCCGATTCTCAGACATACCCAATATGCACACAAAATTTCATGAGAATCGGTCAAGCCGTTTCGGAGGAGTATGGCAACGAAAACTGTGACACGAGAATTTTATATATTAGATAATAATATAAACAAAAGTTCCCTGAGTCGTGGGCTAGTCTCTTCCATTTGACATACTTAAAGTAATAAATTCTACATAAAACTTCATACATATATTATAATTATACTACTGTTGCACAAGAAGTATACTATAGTATAAAGATCAGCATTCAGAAAAGCAGTGTACATGTTTTAAATAAATAAACTTTTCAGACCAAGCTCGAGGTTACAGCGCAAGAATTAGTTCTCTATCGTAACAAACTAGCAGGATGTCAGCGAGAATATGAAAATTGGCGATCAACACTAAATCAGATTTTACATGAAGTGTTGCCAGATAATAGTTTTAATATTGGTGAGTATATTTATAAAAAAAACAGTGTTGACTTCAGCGTGCGACTGGCATCCGTGAGGTAGTAAGTCCGTCTGTGCACCAATGGACTTCTAACACTGGCTCGTACGGTGAAGAAAAGCATCGTAACGCTTAGGTTTCCTAGAAAAGCGGTGCCGTTATCCAACGGCCGTAATGTAACGTTGGGTGACATCACCCATACGTTGTCTATAAATAACATCGGAGTAGGTTTTCTAGAGAACGTCGAGTGTCACCGTAACGTCAAATAGCGGTGCTGTCATTTGCATGACGGCTGTCATAGTGGTGATAAACATTCGTTCAACGTTTTTCGCGTGTAGCGGTGCCTCGATACCAATTAATTAATTAATTAATACCATGAGTGGAAACGTGACTTGGGCGAGCGAAAATAATGTTGTTTTTGCATTATGTTAAAAAGTAAAGACAGCCGTTATTAACAACCGTAAAATGACGGCCGTTAGTTAACGGCACCGCTTTTATAGGAAACCTAAGCTTTAGGAATGTCTCAAATGCTCATATCGATGACATGTGTCAGACAGAAGAATTGTCTATGAAATAAAAATGATCAAGAAACGGATGCAGTCTGAAGCCAAGATCCATGTAGGGGTGTAGCGCCACTGGATTATTATTATTTAAATTTGTAAAGAAATTTTTACATACAGATGTAATTAGTTAATAGTTTCGCCTTAGTCGTGAGTGCGTACAATTCTTATTTTATTTTTGTAAGTTTTTGAAGTTATACTTCTTTTGGCGCGTTAGGGAAAAATGATGAGAGTAAATTTTTACGAAGCGCGCACACACCGTCACCCTGAAGTTAGCTATAGTCAACATTTTAGTTTTTTCTATTATTAGTTTTTTTTTTACCAAAGAAGTATAACTTCTAACGCGTGTACATGAGTACACATACGTTTTTTTACTTGATAATGAAACTATTTCTTTTTTTACTATTTCGCTAGAACTTTTGTAATTTCACATCAACGTAGATTCATATCAAACAAATTGGTTTTATTACCTATGTTCTAGGCGATGCACCGTCACCGGGGAAACTTGCAACCTTAAAGGAAATATTGAGTCGATATAAACTGCAAATACAGAAGGTTGGACAACTTCAAGAGGAAATTAATAAAAGGTATTCTCCTACAATGGGGTTTTATATTAAAATAAATTTACTAAATTATATTTAATAAGAAAAGTAAAATAATCTTAATTTATATGAATGTACATAATTTTATAAAATTATCGTACATTAATTTAATTTGCCTATTCTCGTTATTAAAATTAATAGAATTATTTCTCTATATTGCTACACAGTGCATATAACTGGGAAGTCACGGGCCACGGGGTCAGTGACCTCAATGTTGAGTCAGAATTTTGAGAATTATCACTATAGAAAAGCCTGTATCTAGAAATTTAAAAAATATGTATTTTCAAATAATTTATTTACAAAAGAAAATTGTTTTAGTGCATAAATGACTAAAATTAAAATACAATTTTTTTTATTTTCAGGGAAAGAAGATTAGAACAACACAGAAAGCTAGAGTCTGAATTGCGTTCGAAATTAGAAGAACAAAAAGGTATAGAGTTACAACTCAATTCAAGAATAGCGGTTTTACAGAATAAATTGGAATTACTTGGAACACATTCAGATAGTGAATTAGTGGAGACGTACAGAAAACAAAATGAAATGCTCAGAAAAGAGATGGAAGATGTCAAGAGCGAGATGAAAAGTGTAAGTTAAGTGGTTTATGGTTTTGATATCATTAAATTTCTGTGGGAAACTCGTTGATTACCATCTAAAGAAATAACATATAGAGTCGCCTTTACAGTGTCAAGCTTATTGGCCTTGTGTGGAAACAATACTAAAACTCTCCTTAAAATGGAGTGTTTAAACAAAATAAATTTAGAGATAAACTTATTGAATATTGTATAAAAACAATAATATATGGAGTAAATAATTTATGGTTATAAATTCGCGGAAAAAAACAAAATATATTTGATTAAAAATATTTGTTGCAATATTTAAAAAAAAACTACTAAAAAAGTTGCAGAAGAAAAAGTTTCGACGCCCGCACATAACTATCGCTGTTTGTAAATAATACATTATCTACTTGGAATTTCTTAATTCTTATAGATTGAAATCAAATACACCGAACTGGAAATGGACTACGAGAAGTTGAAAATTGAGCGAGGCAGCAGGGCGTCACTAGTGCAGGAAGCGAATGCGGATTTGTTAAGGGAATTGGAAAACTACAGCGCACAGCTGAAAGACACGCTCAAAGAAAACGGCGAATTGAAAACATTGTATCTGCAAGTAAGTGTGACTCCATAGAGCATAGCGAACATACAAATCGACTAAATAAATCTTGTATTCTTAAATGTAAAAATACATTTTATTTATTCCAAAATAGCGGGTAAACACGTTATGACGATTTGAATTTTTTGGCCTTTCAATTGTCATAATGTTCTGTGCTCTATGTATAATACATTGTTGAGTCTGTGTATTACTTGTTATGTTGACAATATTTTTACGTCATTATAGTTCGACAGTAAAATAGTAGTTTATGCAAATGTCATATAATAGAGGGTATTAAAATGTTTTAATACCTAATTATATGCAGTTGCATACACTACTTTATTTAATCTTATGGCTATAGGTACATTAAATAAAATGCAATATGAAAGAAACAAAAGTCTGTTATTGGTCTATTGGCTCGTAACCAGCACTGCTCGCTCACCACAGATAATGTGTACCTAAATTGAATTGAAACCTCCTTGGTCGGGACACATTGTACTTTAATAATTAAAAAATTGTTTTAAAGCATTGTTTTGTTAGGAGAATAATGCTTTAATTTAATTTTTTAAAGAAGTATGTAAATAAAATATGGCAATAAAAGTCTGTATTTCATTTCATAATTAGAATATTACCGAATTAGATTATATAAATATTATTTTATTATATAATTTAAAAGGTTTAAAAGTTAATAGTAGTATTATAGTGTATAGTATAACTTATTTACCAGTGATATTATGTTGTTCAAGAAACACAATTAAAATGTGGGCACTACGAAGGCAATACTATAAACAATTTAATTTTTTTACTTATATCAAAATGAATTCATGAATCATAAAATTTTTACAATATTTTTAGGTATGCAGTGCCCGCGATTCTGTCTCACGGGAACTGAAAGACGTACGAACAAACATGCAAAAAGAGAGAGATGACTTCAGGAAGCAAGAGAAAGACTACATAGAGCGGATAGAAAGAGAAAAGAAACATGCAGAGAAGTTGGCAGGAGATTTAAGTAGTTCAAGGGAAGAGATAGAAAGAGCTAATAAGAGAATATCGGAGTTGCAAAAAGAGTTCACTGATAAGCAAAAAGAGTTTACTGATAAGTTGAATAAGTATTTGGAAGGTAAGATTTTCATAGATAAGGTGGATAAGTGAGAAGGCATCTTCAAAAATGGTCCTTGAAACTAATTTTATGAAACTATTGTATAACAAAAAAGCAAGCTAGGATGGGAACCTTCCCTCTTTAGTGGAATTTTAATTTGGTCACATGTTACTAGTATGGATTTTCTTTTTAAATATAAATATACTAATAATAACATAATTACAAGAATCAGTATCAAATAAAACGAGTGAATGCTATCCTAAATAAACACTACCAAGAAACCGACTTAAATCAGTTTAACACCACTAGATGGCGCTGACGGACTTATAAAACGCGCTATCGTTGTATTTTTAAATAGCGGAAACTACACAGACTATATATAGTAAGCGTTACTCAAGTCAGAAAAAAATCTAAAAAAGTTTCACTTCAAAATATAAAAAAAATTAATTAAGAATGAATTGCAATATATAAAGATCAGTGTTTGGTAATTGGTTAGGTCTTTGTGTAGGGTAGAAGCCCCATCTAGGGTATGGGCCTCCTACAGCTATGATATCATCTGACCATAATTTTTTGGATTGCCTATTCGCCATTTACCGCTTGTGCCGGGCCATTTCGTCACTTTTTACGTTCACCTATTGTCGGGTTATTATGCTCTTCAGATGATTGCAATAAATTATGGTTATAGTTAGGAAATGTACGTTACCTCATTGGAGCGAATAATAGTTTATTTTTATTTTAAAATATTATTTCCAGATGAAAAGTCCTCTATGCGTAAAGAGATGGAGAACTGTCTTCAATGCGAGACTCAACTCAAACACATTAAGTACTTGGAGGAGCAACTTAATAAGTGTAATGTTAAATTAGGTAATTTTTTTTTATTATTTACCTAAATCATATATTTAACATGTTTATTTATAAATCCTAATCGCGCGTTAGGCGAATATGTAATTACTAAGTAAAAACTAATATTTGTATTTACATTTTTTCTTGTCTTTTTTGGATGTGTAATATATTTTTTAGAATTTTATGTTTACCGTAATTGTCATATATTTTAGAATATATATTGTAACTTATACTGTAGAAATTGTATTATATACTAGTTGGCTCCGCGAACTTCGTTTCGCCTTAATATGTTTTTTTATTTAGCATACCTTTTTAGTAGCTACATACAAACATATGGATTATTTAGCTATGCTACCCCATAGAGACTTGACTTTCCTTCCGGAATAAACTATAATTTCAATTTTTCCCTCTATAAAACCGAATTCCAGGAATACCACAAAAATACTCGAATTAGTCCTGCCGCCTACGAGTTTTAAGCAACATATTATGTACTTTAATAAATACTGACTAATATATTAAGTAAATAGGCATACATAAAAACATATGTGCGCACATACGCAGTAATATTTATTATTATTATTGTTCACATGCAACACTTTGTTAATTACAATACATTTGGTTTTGATATTTTTATAAAAGCCTAAATAAACAATTAAATTAAATAAAAAAAGGGTGCGTGTACTTATGTACGCGTGTAAAAAGTTATACTTTTTTGGCATTATTAATAATACATACGGATAGTTAACCTCAATTGTATTGAAGCACTTAGGAAGATGAACACAGTTTTTTCACAAATATTTTCAAATATTAATTAGTATTGATTTAAATATTCAATTTAATTCACTTCTGATTATAATTCAGACGCACATATAAAATTCGCACTTGTATAATGAAAACAAAATGAAAACGCGTGTTTTAGATGTAGAAACTCAAAGCATGTGGAAAAATATTATAAATATAAATACACAGTGAACAGAGGCGGCGTGCGTGCTAGCCAACATGCGCCACTAACTTCGTTCTGTTAATTTTGTGTCACGGTGCGAGCGCATCGTAAAATTTCACTCTCATCAATTTTTCATAACGCGCCTAAAGAAGTATAACTTCAAAAATCTACCAATATTACATTTAAATTATAAACAGTAGCATTAACAAACCACAAATTAGAAATAACTAAATGAGAACATTGTATAAGGTTTTTGTATTTTTTTTCAGCGGCCCAAGAAAGCAACGATGCTCTCATGAAGGAATTAAAAGCTAAAGCGGAATTTTTCCAAAATTACATAATGGAAAGGTTCAAGAAGATTCAGGATCAGAGGAATGTGGGAACTAGCACTCATGACGGAGACACAGATTCTGGTACTGAAGAAGTAGTGCCTCATGACGATATGGCTGCTGAGGTAAAGAAAATAGAGGTTTTAAGATTTTATTTCTGTTAGTAGGTCTGGTGTTATTTAGGTCTAACGAGTAAGATTTAAAAAAAATGTGTGTGTACAAAGTGTACATGTCAGAAGTGAAACTTCTGTGGCAAACCTTAGGAATTTAATGAATTTAATGTCATTAAAATATTAAGTGTCGAATAATAAATAATAAATAAAAGAATATATAAATTTTATTTCAATTCCTTCACTAATTAATCGAAAGGAACTTGGTTCCATCCGGGTGTCCCTTGACACCTCTCAAGTTTTTGTATCACTTTCAAATTAATATATTGTTATATTCAAATAATGTAATATGTTTATTATGGAACATAAGATAAAGGTATCACTTATTCCACGTCATTAAATTTGAATCTGTGGCATCCCTACTCATCGGCTAAAAATCTTCTCTTACACCGTACGTGGAAGTATGAATTGCGTACATTGGTGCACATCCGGGGATCGAACCTCGAGCGCAAAGAAGTGAAACTTCTTTATCGAGGTTGGAAAAAAATTTAGTGTAACATTTTTTCGTTACGCGTCACGTTTTTCGGTTACGCGCCATGTTTCTTTTTGAAGTCAAACTTCTTTATCGGCGTATGAAAAAAAATTACCGTCACATTATTTATTATTTATTGAAGTGAAACTTCTTTATCGGGGTTGGAAAAAAATTTAGTGTAACATTTTTTCGTTACGCGTCACATTTTTCGGTTACGCGCCATGTTGCTTTTTGAAGTCAAACTTCTTTATCGGCGTTGGAATGAAACTTCTTTATCGACGTATGGGAGAAATTTTGTAGCAAATCGTCACGTTTTCAATGATAGTAATAATTCTATTACAATTAATGAAATTCTATAATAATCTTCGTAGTAATAAGGTAAAATGAAATATTTGTATTCATGTCTATGATAATAAAAGCCTTTTGTTAAACTTTATCTAATTTAACGAATTTCTGTAAAGTTGCATATAGTAGATCATTTTTCGAAAAATAAGATCATAAAGAAGTTTCACTTCTTACGTGTGTACACCTAGTACACACACAATTTTTATTATTTATTATTCGACACTTAATATTTTAATGGCTATTAAATTCATTAAATTCTTAACATATCTTCCTTTTTCCGTCCCTCTAAGTATCGGAAATGTAAACTTTTAGATTTGTATAAATATGAACAACACTTCAAGATTAGTTGGCCACAGAAGTTTCACTTCTGACATGTGTACTTTGTACACACACACTTTTTTTTTTTGACAATTCACAACAGTTGACCTAGTCCCATGCTAAGCTGGTGAAGCTTGTGTTATGGGTACTAGGCAACGGATATACATACATATTATAGATAGATAGACATATAAATACATATTTAAACACCCAAGACCTAAGCACAACACCAAATGCTCATCACATCGATGTTTGTCTCAGCCGGGGATCGAACCCTGGACCCATGGATTCGCAGTCAGGGGTACTAACCACTAGACCAATGAGACGTCCTGATTTAAATGTATTTGATTATTTTATTTATAGACTAGCGTTCCTAGGGCCGTATTGTAACCTGTCCATTTCAAATAGTGCTTGCTTTGTGAGAAGAGACATCGTGAATAATTTAGAAATATTTTGTTATTTATTCATTAAAAATAATATCTTTATACGGCAATATCAATTACAGACCGCACTTATGATGAAAGAGAAGGCAATACGCGACCAAATTGCCGAGAAATTCACCTTAGAAATGAAAACAGTTGAAATGAATTGTGCGAGGCGTGTGAAAGAGATAGAGAACGAACAAATGTCAACTGTCACAAAATTAAAAGAATTGTTGGAAAGGAAGGCGAAGGAGGTTGATACGTTGAAGGAATTTATTCTTTCCGAGCGCGGGAAAGTTACGCAGATATTGGAAGCAAAGGAAAATGAGATTTCAGTGCTTATAAAAGAGCATAATGAGTTGCAAGCGGAGTGTCAGAGGGTGAAAGATGACGTCATTGATTGGAAGCAAAGGGCAGAGAAGTATAAGGAGAGGTTGTCGAGATTGGGTAAGTTTTCTTTAGTTTTACCCCTTTTGAAGGCGGTCTCTTTTCACCACAGCATTAACACAATTTGACAGAAAGAGACAACATAACACTTTATAAACGAAAACGATTCTGTTCTATCAAACTAATTTTATACAATATATAATTCAAATAGTCTAGTTATCAGTTCAAAGTTACGGACAAGCAACATATTATATAATTTACTTGAAAAACGTTGTCATAAGGTTGTAAACTCACAATGCTCGTTAATGCTCACGTAAAAAGCCTTGAATTTTAAATATATTTTTTTATTACTTAAAAGTCTAAAAACGAAAGTATGCCATTGCATTAAGATTACATATAAGTTAATTTTCATAGTGATAAAATGCAAACAAATGAAAATCTTTAACAAAGTAATTTTTTAATAGCAATATTCCGAACACCATGGTTCAAAAAATAATATTTTATACTAGCTTCAGTGGATTTTGGCAAGAATTTTTGTATCGTAATTTTTCAGTCAATTTATATATTAATTATAGACCAAAACATTCCCCAGGAATCACTATTGTAAAACCCGTAAAAAATGAGTTAGCGGCCGGGGACTATTATAAATAATTTATTTATTCATATTTTACATTACTTACATATATATGTCGCAGATTTTGACGCGATTAATAATTACAAAGTTGGTATCACCACCGTCGTCCGACATTATCACTTAATATTTAAACACAGTCAGTGCGCACGTCCGGCGCAGGCGCCGATCGGAAAGAAACTCTAGCACTTCACGACCGATTCTACGCACTACTGACAAATTAACTTTGACAATTGACACATTGACATTTTACAACCTGTAAGATGTCTATGATATTGCGTGGCGTTGCCATTGTAATAAAACAAATTACACCGTGTTCTATTATAACCTAATCTCTGACATATACGGATATAGGAATAGAAATACAAGTTATAATTAGAGGTGGCATTAAATAGCTTCACAGATATAAAAATGTTAAGTAATAGTATACAACCAAAATAAAATAAATATTCTAATAAATAGGCACATGACAATATAAACACAGCATTTAAGAGTACATAGATAACAGTCAAATTACAATACACGTACAGAGATTCATATATAGAAAGATAAAAAATATGTTATGCATACCTTTAAGTAACGTTTCTATGTTTAAGGCTCAATGGAAGATATTATAAAGAAAGAAAGAGAAGACATGAAATTGAAAAGCAGTTCATCCGTTAAAGAGTGTCAGAGTTTGCGAACGAAGTTAATGGAATTACAATCTCAGTGTACGCAGTTGGAACAGAAGTTAAATAAATTACAAAATGAATATCAAATAATTCAGGATAAATACAAGAACGCTAAAAAGACTGTCTATACTTATAAGGTAAGGAATAATTTCTTATTAAAAAGGCCAGTAAGTTTAACATGAACAAGGATTAGTATATTTCATTACAAGTGCGGAAAGCCTGTCATTGCAAAGAGTTCCGACAAATGTCTACCCGAGCCGAGGCGCAGCCGAAGGTGAGGGTTGACAGTCGGAACAAGTTGCAATGACGGTTCCGCACGTGTACTGAACAACTATTTTTAATACAGTTGCGAAAAAATTATGCAATTTAATAAAATAATAAAAAAAACAATAAACTCAACTCAGTAATCATTTATTTCTTATACAAATTATTGCTCACATATACATTGGTACAGTTTTTTACACTAACTGGAGAAGTTTTAGATTGCATATTTATTTACTGTTTGAGACAAACTATTATTTATTTCGTATGATTTTTCATGTATATTTAATATATAATATAACAAACAACTAAACGCGCAAAGAACATTTTTGGAAAATGGCGCCAACCGTAAAAGAATATAAGCAGATATTTTTTTTTTCTTCACCCATTCGGGTAGGCAAAGGGAACTATGCCCATACAGCCAAGTCTTCAGTACAATTTTTTATTGATATGAAATGAAATTTAAGGAGATGAAATGAAATCTAACCTAACTCATTGAATCAAATCATTAAATCTTATATTGAAACAAAGCAGTAGCTTCTTTTTAGAAATATTTGCATGAATCATAAAAATTTCTATGAAGTTTTTTAGTAAAAACTTCGTGGTTGGTTTTTTCTTTTTAATAGACATTATTTTGACAGTTGGGAAAGAAAATGCACTAGTTCGGAAAAGGTAAAAAAAAAGCACGAGTGTGTAATAGCCCACATCCCGAACGCTATACGTCCCTGCAATACGCCACTTTTTGAGCAACTGTATTAAAAAAATCTTTTTACCATCAATAATCCCCGAAGCTCTTTAAACCCTATACTTGACTGTGCGATAGATTTATGTGTGTGTATTTAGTGCGGTATATCTAATGTATAAAATTCTCGTGTCACAATGTTCGTTCCCATACTCCTCCGAAACGGCTCGACCGATTCTTATGAAATTTTTTATACATATTCAGTGAGTCTGAGAATCGGCTACTATCTATCTTTAAAACCCCTAAATGATAAGGGGTGTCCAAAGGGCTTTTACCATTCGAATTCAGTATATGCTAGGTTTTAACTAACTGGTTAGGTTAGGTTAGGACATTTACCAGTAGGCATTGGTAGATCTTAGGTTTTACTGGAATATATTAGGATTTACACAGTTCGAGCTTTTACAGTAACATATATATTATATATAATAAATTTTGGTGAAATACCTCGATCTAAACATGTGCCAGGCCATGTGGTTAACCTTGTCTATAAAAGAAAGTAAAGAAAGAGATGCTGGTTAAATTTCGAAATAAAATCTGGCAAAACTCATTAAGACCAAAGCGATCGTAATTCGTACTTTACAGCAACTATAAGATTCAGACAAATATCAAATAAATTTGTGATAATTAAATGCGTCTTAAATTAACTTTTTTACCGATAAAATATGCCCCTATATATTTAAACATCTCTTACCTGAACCCCTCTCAACCTGTAAACCATGTTAAAAAAACGACGGGTTGCACTCCGGTAGTGCCGGCAGAAGTGAAAACTTGAATATTAACGTTGTGCATTTGTGATATTAGGTCCTTACATATGAAATTGGCGTATTTCGTACTGGCCACTTTAATCACGATGTTCTCCTCATTGGTAAGGAATTCCAAACTCAAATTTGTACAGCTATTTACTCATGTATTTGTGCTTCGATGACCGTCATTCATTTGTTTTTTTCTGTTTGCGTCACTCATTTTACAAAATGGAAAACTTAAAGTATCGCATTATTTACGACTACGAGTTCCGCCGTGGCACTAGTGCTGCGGAAACGACTCGAAGGGTGAATGACCCAAGTTGATAATGAAGTATTGAAGGCTATTGTGGAAGCGTCGCCATCGCAAACCACGTTCGAGTTAGCTGCAGGTTGCGGTGTTAGTGATAAAACTGTTTTAATTCACTTGAAGCATATTGGGAAGATTAAAAAGCTTGAAAGATGGGTACCTCACGAATTGACTGAAGCAAACCGGCAAACGCGCGTCGACTGCTACATTACTGAACCGGCACAATAATGAAGGTATTTTAAACCGAATCATTACCTGTGATGAAAAATGGATTCTTTACGATAATCGGAAGCGCTCAGCGCAATGGTTGGATCCTGGCCAGCCAGCCAAATCCTGCCCCAAGCGAAAATTGACCCCAAAAAAGTTACTTGTAAGCGTTTGGTGGACTAGTGCCGGTATTGTTCATTGCAGTTTTCTCAAATCTGGCCAGACTATTACGGCTGATGTCTATTGTCAGCAATTGCAAACATGATGGAAAAGCTAGCGGCTAAACAACCTAGGCTGGTCAATCGCTTCACGCCACTGCTACTTCACGACAACGCTAGACCACCACACGCTGCACAACAGACGGCTACCAAATTAGAAGAGCTTCAATTGGAATGTCTAAGACATCCTCCGTACTCCCCGGACCTTGCTCCAACAAATTACCATTTTTTTCGAAATTTGGACAACTTCTTGCAAGGGAAAAAATTTAACTCTGATGGGGCAGTCCAAATCGCGTTCACAGATTTTATTGATTCCTGTCCGACTGGTTTTTTTAGTAAAGGGATCAATGAATTACCTATGAGATGGCAAATGTGCATAGAAAACAAGGGTTCATACTTTGATTAATTAAATATATTATATTTAAAAATATTCGACTTTTTGTTCCTCCCATACAAAACGCCAATTTCATATGTAAGGACCTAATATTTTGGAATGGTTAGGGAATAATTTTGCACGGATTGCTTTAATTATCAGTATAAACGTACTATCATTTATGTGGTAGAATACAATATTTATTTATTGCGCTATCGTACACAAACATGTCAATTTATATTACATTAAATACGCCGCGCCAGCTGTCTAATCTCCATCCGTCTTACGAATTTTCGACCAGGTCACAATATTTATCAGTTTTTTTATTCGGTCTCGTTACTACAATAATTTTTTGGATAAGCCTTGGACTCTATGAAAGAGAAGCAGAAGCTATTTGTGGCGAAACGCAAGGTATCGCGTAAAATGCTCGAAATAATAATACTATAATACGTTTTAAACAGTTGTGAGGCATTTATCGGTAAGTGTAATAATAATAATAAAGCCTTTTATTGAGACAAGTATTTTTAATATTAGCACTTATTCTAATGATATTATATCTAGTCCCAGCTCTACCGCTTGCCAAGTGGTAAAGGGCTCCCCCACTCTTCTCCATTTGCTTTCATTGCGCGCGACGCGACGCCATACATTTCCCAACATGTTTGTGAACATGTCGTCGCATCTGTTATATAGTCTTCCTCTACTACGCTTTCCGTAACGTGTAAGTGTAACTCATATTTGTAGGATTACATGGGGAAGAAAGACGAGCACATAAATAGTGAAATGAGCAGGATTCAAGATGAGTACAGGAAGATATTCGTGAAGTTGCAGAACCAAATCAACTACTTGATGACAAAGGTACATGAGGAGAGACGAGGGTCGAAATCGCAGTATCAGGAATATGATGTAAGTATAATCTGTGGTTTAGGCAATTTGGATTTGTGTATCCTTTACTACTAAAATACATAACATATAATATTGTTCAGAAATTAAAAATAAAAGTAATACAGTAAAATAAAAAAGTATAGTAAAGCAAAGAAGCAAGACTAAGGATATTCAGAGTTGAGACTTAGTGCTAAGTATCAGGTCAAATCTAATACTTTTTAGACATTTGTATGTGTAGAGAGAGTGAACCCTTTTTAACTTAAAAAATATCTAATGCATTCATGCAAAGATAACGTTGGTGTGAGTATGTATGAATGAGGTGATTTTAACATTATTTCTATTTTAAAAGTAACGTAAACACCTTCGAAAGTCTTCATTGGATGACGCGAGAACACTATGAGCTTATAAACAATAACTAAGAAGCGAATTTAGAAATATGTCTGTCCCAAACCCCAGTCGTCATGTCATCTAGGTCATGTCGTCTATTCGTCATAATTTTTTCAACTTTTTATTATAATTCCTTTACGTTAAAAATTTGATTGTACGTGTACGATGCTGAATCACGATCGCGAATCTATTTTGACCTGACTTAAATATTCACAAATAATTAAATAGTATTAATGTGTTTTTTCAGTGCACGGAGAAAATTAAAAAACTAAACGAAGATTTCGCTCGACTCACCCAAAATAATTTCAACGGTCCAGACCTCAATCAGTGAATTCTTGCGGAATATTATTATACATATCAAGTGTACGACATACATAGAATAACTCTTGCAAAGAAAAATGCATATTAACACAAAGATATAAAGATGGTAATTCAATTATCAAATAAACATTAAGCTCTCGATTCTTCCAAGCAACGATTGTAACAGTGCTAATGAGTTTTGAACTATTTTGTATCAAAATAAAGTTCATTTTTGCTTATAAGCTGGCACAGAGATCTGTGCCTTATGTGCCCTTATTCATAAGATACGGTCATCTCTTTCTGTCAAATTGTTTTTACGCTGCGATTGAAAGAGACAATAAAAATAAGAGGGTACGTCCACATATTTAGGACGGGAAGCATGTATATTGTATCATCTTAATGAAATCGGTCACGAAAGTTAAGCAATATTTGCTGAAGTCAAATTATCCGTGCGAATAAGGTCGCTTTATTAAAATAGTGCGATAATATTTAATTTTTTTAAGGTAATATTGATGAACTTGGAACTAGCTGGAAATTAACATTCCATTACGCAAACATTAGTACAAAAACTTTAGTGATCTCTATATTTATTATAAGAATATTTGTGAACTTAATAACGGAACCTCACAACTTTTTTGTACTTAAAATTTTAAGTATAAACGGCTCGATCGTAGAATTTCTTAATTTTTTTCATTAAGTCTTGGGCGAACGAAGTTCAAATTTTTTATTCATTAAAACATGTAACCATACTAATATTATAAAGAGGAAAGATTATTATATTACATATTAGTATCATTGTAAAAACTAAACACAAAAACTATTCTGATTTGAAAATAAAATCTTTTATCAGATTTTACATTATTCTTCATTAACAACCGCTGTACTTATTTCCTAAACAAAATAAATATACGTAAAAAAACTGACAGGCCGTTTGTTAAAAAAATCTAATTTCTTTTTATATGAAGATATACATAATTTATCCTACGATCGGGCGGAATCTTGAAGCATTCGTTTTGGGGGTTTCATGGTGCGTATATCTATCTATCTTTTACTACTTGTCCCGGTGACGAATATTGTTTTCTATGTAAACTGAGTCTTTAACACGAACAGCAGCAGTCAATTCCATACGTCAAAACGGTAAATGTCTGTTATGACAGCTCGAACGATCGCTCTTTAAACAATTTTTATTGTGAACGATTTGTGTTCCGTTTAGTTACAATGCGTCTACGGAACGCTATCTACTTAAGTTTTCCATACATTTTTTATTATTTGTACTTCTATTCGATTTTACGTTCGTGCTAAGGGTACTTCGTTAAGTGTAAATTTCTGAGAGGGTCTTAGTAACACTTGGCAACAATTTTAACTCAAAGGAAACTAAAAACATTTTAAATGTAAAACTTTGTTACATAATGCATTTGAATTTGTTCCTTAAAATAGATTTCGTTTGTCATATTGGTCAATGATTAGATTGAAAGTATATTTTCAAAATTAATTTAAATTTAAATAAAGTAGTATTTTCTTTGAGTTAATTTGCTTTCTTAAATAAAACGTGTGAAATATTGTATTATGGAATAAATCTTACTTTTTTTCACAATGTGAAGTATGTGTGAACTGTGAACTTTTTAAGACTCTAATATTTTTTATATAAACTTTAAAATTAACCCAAGGTTTCGCACCCGAGAATGTATTAATGCGTAACGATTTTATAGTACGTATATATAGTTATTAAAGAAATAAAGGGAATTTTTAAAATTCAACCGAAAATCCCGAGCGAAACTTTTAGTAGACAATAAATTAATGTAAGTTTTTCTATAGCAGTTTTGCTCTAATAAGAATATAAAGGCATTTAAGGAAACGTTCCTGTGATAGAATGGTACACAATTTATATTTTTGTAAGATAATTAATGTTGCATTCCCACTAATTCCATTTTTTCACATTCATTAAATTGTTTGTTTTAATCGATTATATTTGTTGTCGCTCATGTGTTTTGTAATTTTGCAGGTAGCCTCAATTTGATGACTTATGAGTCACGAGTTTGTGGCTGGCTGTGTTATTATTTGTGTTGAAAATATTCTAATTCTGTTCGTTTTTACGTTATCTAATCGTTTATTACACTTAAGGTTATAAATAAATATTTTAAATTATATATATTTTTATTTCTTAACATAATATTTTGAAGGTACAAAAGGCATCTTGGCCACTTTACATGGAGAGTCCTTGTTTCGTATGTTAACGTTTATTTCAGTGCTGACTTTTTTAAATTGTTCAAGAATGTAACCCATTGCCACGTTACCCCCCAAAGAGGGGCTTGGGCAACCACTAGTAACATTACCTATAACTTCACCGTTCAAACTTTTTAGGAGCGCGCCTTTTCTTGCCGGGGCACCTGTTTCCATCCTTACCCCGACTCTCCTTTTAGTAACCCCCTCTTTAATCTGCCGTAAAATTATTTCCGCTCCAGGAAAGTTTGCTTCTCCTCGTCGTCTCTTTGCTATCAGCCAAGTTAAATTAGCTTCGACGGGTGTCACTCCTTCGTCAATGTCATTACCATACAAACATAAGCCTGCTTCTAAACGTAACGAATCTCTGGCTCCTAAACCGGCAAGTTTGATGTCGTCGGATAGCAATAACGCTTCTGTCACCCTTTCAGTTTTTTCAGCGGGAATCGATATTTCAACACCATCTTCGCCTGTATAACCACATCGGGTTATACGACAATCTACTCCTGCTACAGAACCTAAACGACTGGTCATGAAGTACAAGTTTTCTAAAGGAGTATCTGTTAAACGTTGTATATTTTGTACTGCCTTTGGTCCTTGAACAGCAATCAGTCCCCTTTGAGTTACATCGAAGAAGTCAATGGAGATATCTTTATTCTTCTTGCGATACATTTCGGATGTTTCTATCATATGGCTTTTATCGACGTCTAGTCTTCCCGCATTTGAGACAATGTAGAGTTGTTTTTCACTTACTCTTGTTACAATAAGGTCATCAATTATACCACCTTTTTGATTTAGAAATACAGTTAGCGAACTTGATCCATCACTCATTCCTTGTAAATCAACTGGGCATATTGATTCGAACCAAGGGATGCAATCCTTACCGGAAACACTTGTTTGTAACATGTGAGATACATCGAAAATAGATCCACTATTTCTCGTAAACAGGTGAGATGCAGACACAGTCATGTCAGAATATTGTACGGGAAGTAGAAATCCAGCAAAATCAACTAACTTTCCACCATATTTTTCATGTAAATTATACAGAGGTGTCTTTTTAGATGAACCCACATCACTGTAACAACGCACTTGAATTCTTGCTAAAATTTTTGATCTTATAATATTTCTACAGATCATGTTACGTGTTATATGATACTATGTATTATTACAAATGAGACATCTGCAATCGTTAGGGGCAGAGGTCACTTTATAGTAAGATAAAGAGAGATTACTTCACTTGTTGATTTTGTAACATCAGACCATTTTAAACATAACATTATAAATAGGTGTGCCTCTGATTATTTTTGTATATTCTTTGCCTTCTATACTAATTTTAGTTTATTCTAAAATCCAATCATATGAGCTGAGAATCAGTCAAATAATTGACAAATGAATAATTATTATATTATTATAATAATTTACTGCGATCATGTAAATAAATGGTAAATTTGAAATGCAACAAAGAAAAATTAAATTTTATTATATTATTTAGTTAATCTATCAATAACTTTAATATAATCCTCATAAGACAACAATTCATTTTTAGTTGCATCTGATATTGCAATACTAGACAACAATATTGCAATAAATCCATCGGCATCTGGCTTCTTCCTGAGAAGGTGTGGATCAGAGACAAGTTGCTCATTTACTTCTATCAGGGTACTCTTCATGCAACTGGGGACATCAAAACTTGTGCCATCTTCATAATCTATTTTACAAATCACGGATTTAGGCGTCAACATCTGCCCACCCTTCTTACTCTTGCCTTTAACAGTATTACTCAATCTATCTATATTTCCTACAGAGAAGTTCAATTTATAATTATTATTATTTTTAAAAAAGAAATGGCTTGGAGCTAAACAAAGTAACGCTACTCTATTTGAATGGAACATAATCATAATGTCATTATTCTTAATGCCATTGAAGTCAATTATATAGCGTTTGGTAAAATATCTATCAGTAAAGGATTTGTAATTATTATCTATCTTAATTGATTGCAGAATATCACAAGCCATATTGTACTTATTGCTTTGCTTCTTGACGTTGGGCAGCTAAAATCCTGGCACGGATGGCTTCGTGTTTCTTTTTGGATTCCTCAATATGACGTTTTTGACGTTGTAAACGTTCAGCCTTTAAACAACGTCTCATATCACTGTCATAATCATTACAATAGCCAACGAATTTTAAGAAGGAATGCTGAAATAAGTAATTATCATTTAAAAATTACATAATGAGTGATGTCAGAAAGAAAGTATGTGCTTTATAATTAACCAATAAAAAGAGTTTTATCAGAGCTGTATTTATATAGTAAAAGACTCATAATCAATCAATAATAATTGATTATAAATTAAATAATTACAAATTGAAACAAATACAATATAATCACAAAACCTAACCTCAACATGACAGTCTTGCAATTTCCTTATGAAAATGTTACACTCGTCAGTATGTAAATGTGGAGACAAATCAGTGTGCATTCCGAATTATATTAAATGTATACTTTTAAGTTTTATTTAAGAGCACTTTTACAAGATTTACCCCAGTATTTTTTTGTATTGATATCAATTAAAGTGAAAATTGAAATGACAAATCGGAAACCATAGATACACATTTGTCAGATGGGTGTTGACGTTTAGTTGACACTTTTTTTTTTATGGCTCTGGCACGATTTGTGCATTAGCCAGCGTCAAGTATAGGATTTTTTATAATTCGTGCTTGACTTTAGAAATTCGACCGTGTCCTCCACGTACGGTTAAAGCACTCGCCCGGTACCGCACAACCCTCCCAAAGGCCGAGAACAAATTTAAATTAAATTAAAACTTGCCCTCGAATCGGGAATTGAACCCGGTACCCCTCATCTAGCTGAAGTTGACACTTGACGGTCAGATTTAATCATTTGAAACTGTTCATCAGAAAAAAAACCGCGGGAAGCTTCGTTCATGGTAGACGTTTTTTTTCATAGTCGGGGGGATGATGGCCATGTTGGCCTGAATCTCCCTGTGGGATCAAACATATCTGTTGGTTCACAAGATGATATTTGACAAAATGGATACGGATTGTTCGTTATCATCTCAGACAGGTGAAGGAAGTCGTAAACGAACATGTTATTTGCACCTTTGTCGGAAGTGTATGAAAATTAAGAAAAAGAAAGGTAGTGGTTCTAGCGGTGATAACTGTCAGTGCGAAAGCTTATGCAATGTAGAAGATGAGTCAATTTTAATCAAAAAGGTTACTTCTAAACCTATATCTCCTCGTCATCTCCAAACTCGCAAAATAATAATAATTCACATAACACATCCTCTCAACCATCAGCATCTTACATAGAAAATTCAAATATCTCGCAAGACTCTAACGTGGGAAATTCAAACTACACCACAGCTTCAGTAACCAATACGGACCCCCGTTCGATTGGCCGTACTGAATATGTTCCTACTGATGTTTCCCTTTATTTAATACATGTTCAACGTATAGAAAGTTCACCTGACGACGGGACCATTCTCCACCCTATAACATTTTGCAATTTTTTAAAGCAGAACAAATTTAATAATATTATTCCCGGAAGTGTAAAGCAAAAGTGTATAGGAAGAAACAGGGGCGTAGTTGGCTTCTCAGATTATAAAGACGCCAATAATTTTCTAAACTCCAATCTTTTGGAAACGAAAAAGTTAAAAGCCTTCATACCCACTTTCAGCGTAACAAAAATGGGTCTAGTTCGCGGGGTCCCTGTAGATTGTAGTGTAGAGGAAGTTCAACAAAATGTATCCGTACCTATAGGCTGCGGCAACATACTTGAAATAAGACGTTTGTATCGCAAGGTGAAAATTAATGACTCGGTTTTTTAGAAACCCTCTGAAACAGTTGTAATAACATTTGATGGGCAAGTTTTACCAAAAAGGATTTTCATGTGCTATAATGCTCTTCCAGTAGAGATATATATTTATCCTACGATACAATGCTATAAATGCTCCCGTTATGGTCATACCAAAGTTCAATGTCGTTCTAAGACTCCAATATGTTATAACTGTGGAGGTCAACATGCAGGTGTATCATGTGACAGGTCAGATGAAGATCCTCTGTACTGTGTAATGTGTGAAGTCGAAGGGTCGGTCCCGCTTCAGGGATAGATAAATCATGTCCAGAATTTGTGAGACAGACAGAAATCAAAGTTAAAATGGCACAGAGCTGCATGTCTTATGTCGAAGCCAGTAAATATTTTCCTTCATACGCAGATGCATTAAGTTCAACAATTCCGGAAGTTCCAAAACCCGCATATTCTTCCGCAGCGAAGTCTGTATCTCGAAATAATTCTACAAATCCCTCATATAAAAACAGTATTCTTAAAACCTCGCTCTCCGCCTAAACCTCGACATGGTTATGATCGTGTTGCTCATAATAATGTATTAAAAGACTTCCAAATTCCAGAGCCTAAAAATGGCAGTGCTCTTGTTGGTCACAAAAATAAACAGGAAGAAAAATCTGATGTCTTAGAAATGATACTAGCATTATTAACTACTTTACTAAACTCAAACTTACTGAAACCGTCCCACGTTGCCTCTATTAATGAAAAAGTGAAATCAATTAACGTTATTAAAAAATAATGGATTGCAAGATAATTCAATGGAATTGCAAGAGTGTTGTTCCAAAGAAATATAATTAAATATATTTGATAAATAAACATTCTCCTGTTGTTGTCGCGTAATCTGAGACGTGGTTGAAGCCAAGGGTACCTATTTAGGATCCCTGGATATACTTCCTTGCGAAATGATAGATTTGATGGCCATGGTGGCGTAGCATTACTTGTCAGAAACTCAATAAATTTTTCTGAAATAGTGTTTTCTTCATTAATCTCTAATGATGATATTAATATTGTCGGCATGAAAATTGATAATATTTCTTCGTATTGTTGATAGTAATATTTGCGAGTGTGGAGAAGATATTGGTAACCTCGACCATATTTTCCTTTCTTGTACGCCGCACAAGCACCGCACCTCCTTTCTGAATTCCTCACAATTACTTCATGTTCCGTTTCCGACTAAAATCTCCTGCCTTTTGCTTTATCCTTTATTGTATAATAATGTATTATCTTCTTTCATAATCAATAATAATATTAAGATGTAATATGTTTGTGTACATATTTTGTTTTTAACCACCTTATCCCTTTATTTCCTTTTGATGTCTTTTTTTTTTTTCGCGTGTATTTTCCCAACCTTTTACTTTTTTTTTTTTTTTAATGTCAAGTATAAGATTTTTATAATTCGTGCTTTTTGCCTAAGAAATTCGACCATGTCCTCCATATACGGTTTAGGCACTCGCCCGGTACCGCACAACCCTCCCAAAGGCCGAGAACAAATTTAAATTAAATTAAAACTTGCCCTCGAACCGGGAATCGAACCCGGTACCCCTCACGTAGCTGCCACTTAATAAGACCGCTAGGCTATGATTTATTTAACGCCTGGTTAGGGCCCGGTAAAAATCAATTTAAAGCCAGGTGCAATGTTTGTGACGTCGAAATGGTTTCAGAATGTGGAGTTTTAAAGTTACACTCTTCAAGGCAAAGGCAGCCAGTATTTTTAAAGAAAAACTTTCCACTTTTATGTTATATTTTAAAATTTCCTTGTTATACGATTTTTTGTAGTTGGTGTACGATAATGCGCTTTTTTCATCTGGCAGCCCTGACTTGAATGCAAGTTATATTTGACATCATTTAATTTTGAATGACGGTGACACTGTTCGTTACGCCTTTGTAAATTTGTCAAGTTTGAAATTTTAAAGTCGCAACGGTTTTCATGTTGCTATTTGGAGTTACTGGTAATCTTGTTAAACATAAACTATAATTAGGTACAGTCTTAATAATCAAAAGGATGACAGACGTTAGCAAAGAAGTTGAGGAGCTTGAAACAAGGATTAAAAACCATAAAGGCTATGGAAAACCGTAAGAAACTCATAAACATTCGTGACACTGTTAATGACCATGATCCATAACGAAAACACCCAGAATGATGACGTTATATTATAAGTAGTTTTTATTCCAACGTATTTTTTGCTTCTCTTTGACAACTTACAAGTGTGTGGAACTTACTCATAAATTCAGTTATTTTTATCATTCTTTTAGCTACAAATGGTCTGCTAAAGATTTTGAACTAGGATCAGCACTCGGTCAAGGTAAATTTGGCCATGTATATGCAGCACGAGAAAAAGAAACTGGCTTACTTGTTGCAATAAAAACATTATTCAAATCTCAGATTATGCACTCAAGATGTGAACAACAAGTTTTAAGAGAAATTGAGATTCAATCCCATTTAAAGTAAGTTTATATTTCATAATAACACAATTATTAATTATATTTTTAAGAAATAAAATAAAAAATTGTTAAGGTTTTTACAGCATCAAGTTAAAATTTTTAAGACAATCAAATGTAGAATACAGAATAGCATTCTGTGTGAATTTAAATTGATTAAATCATACAGGTTGTTGATGCTGCACTTTACATTTTTCAGACACCCCAATATTCTGCGATTATTGACTTGGTTTCATGACGAAAGGAGGATTTATCTAGTGGTTGAATATGCCGCTGGAGGAGAACTATACAGACACCTTACAAAAGCCCCAAATGGACGTTTCCCAGAACCTAAAGCAGCTCGATATATATATCAGGTATACATTTCAATCAAGAAATTATCAGTACTTTATTATAAAACTCATGATTAATTGAAGTTTACTTGTAATTTTTTACCATGAAAGCCTAAATTGTTTCATTGTGTATAAAGAAATAGACTTGCTATTCTAGTCTAAAATTATTAAAAATGGTCTAGTTCTTTAATTCTTAACATGCTTATATTTTATACATTAGCTGACTACTGATGATACTAAATCTTAATATATAATTTGAACTTTTATCAATGAATCCCAAAAACGTATTTTAGGTTGCTGATGCAGTCGATTATTGTCACAGACAGCATGTAATTCACAGAGATATTAAACCAGAAAACATATTAGTGACTTACAGCGGAGACCTTAAATTAGCAGACTTTGGTTGGTCTGTCCACGCTCCATCTGAGAAGTAATTTAATTTTCTTTGTTTTTTTATGTAGTGTATTGTTAGAGAGTAGATTTTGGTTTTACTTTAGGTGCTCATATTATATTGAGTAAAATCTTGAAGAGACTGTCATGTCTGACCTGATCAATGGTGCAGCTCAGGCATAACATGCTGATGACCAACTGAACACTCAAGGAAACAGATCTATCAATTTAAGGATGTCCATTTAATTTTATTTAGAATAAAATATAGTATTTGTTAAATAATGTATTGTAAAAATATGTCATAACGTTGAGTTTTCTTAAGCACTTTATACAAATTACAGGAGAAAAACAATGTGTGGAACTCTTGATTATTTACCTCCTGAAATGATCAAACGGCAAGTGTATAATGTATCTGTTGACCATTGGTGTATTGGAGTGCTGTTGTATGAATTCCTTGTTGGGAAACCACCATTTGAAAGTGAGGAACAGGATCAGACATATGCAAAAATTTTGGCTGTTGATATAAAGTTCCCATCTCATGTACCTGATGGTGCAAGGGATCTTATCTGTAAGGTAATTATATTTATAAACTTCTTAGCATTGTCACCTTCATAAATCAATTTTAATTACATTTCACTATAGAAAATCCTGTTCAGTTAAATGAAAAGGCCTTCTAGTCAAACATACAAACTTCACAAAAGTATCATGGTGAATTTTTTTGTATTAATATTTTTTATCATAACAGGGCAAGAAGGCATCTTCTATTTCACCAACAGAAAAATTTCTAAATTTTAGCTAGTTTATCTATATTTTGTAGTTTAGACAAATATATTCTACAACCATTACTTTTCATTATTATTCAAATAATGAAAAGTTATGATTATATATACAGTCAAAATCTGTTATAACCACATAAAGGGACTACTCATTTTTGGTCATAAAAGCGATAGTCGTAACAGCCGATAACGTTGTTATTAAGAACCTAATACAATAGAATTCAGCCGGGACCTTTGATTTTGATCAATATAACCGGTATGTTGTTCTAAACGATGTAGTCGTAAACGGTTTTCAATGTATTGTACTATATCAAAACTCATTTATGTAACAAGATTATAAATGCCTTTTTAACTAGAACTCAAAAATGCATTCTTTAATAAAATAAAATTAAAACAATGAGCCAATCCTAACTTGACCATAACATTATTTCAGCTTTTACGACACTCAAGTGATGAGCGGTTATCACTAGAGGGAGTGAAGAGCCATTATTGGGTAAAACAATTTCTGAAGGTTAAACATAAGGCATAAATTTTCTTTAGTTATTGAATTGTATTAATCTGGTTGTATTTATTAAAGGAATTAATCAAATGTTACTTTTTACTGATAGTGAGTAGTGAAAAACCAATCTTAAAATAACACAATTGAATTTAATGCTATGCGTGCAGTAGCATACGTACATGTTGACGACTCATTGGTCTAGTGGTTAGTACCCCTGACTGCGAAACCATGGGTCCCGGGTTCGATCCCCGGCTGAGACGAACATCGATGTGATGAGCATTTGATGTTGTGCTTAGGTCTTGGGTGTTTAAATATGTATTTATATGTCTATCTATCTATAATATGTATGTATATCCGTTGCCTAGTACCCATAACACAAGCTTCACCAGCTTAGCATGGGACTAGGTCAATTGGTGTGAATTGTCTTTAAAAAAAACAAAAAAACAGTATTTAACTTTCCAGCCATTATGTGTATTTTTGAAGCACCAAGTGCAGTAGCATAGTTAATTGTTTCTTTTAGGTTTTCTTTAAATTGCTTTTCTTTTCCTGGAATAGCTGTTACACCAAGTTCACCTTTGCTTACATCTCCTGTAAGAATGTTAGATACTTTATTTTACAATTTAAAAATAATTTAGGGTTGCTTACATGGTTAATTTGAGCTTTGGAATATTTTTTTAGGATAATATAAAGATGTAATAAAATTAAGGTGTAATATGTTTGTGTACATATTTTGTTTTTAACCAGCCTATCTCTTTATTTCCTTTTGAGGTCTTTGTTTTTTTTCTCGCGTGTAGTTTCCCAACCTTTTACTTGAAACTGGCATAAAGTAAAACTATTGCTTTTTAAATAATCATATTGAAGATTTTCTTGCACAAACCTTCGACAAAAAAATTGGCCGGGATTGTAAGAATGAAAAATGTGTTTGATTCTCAACAAAATGATGAATTACGACGCGCGTACTAGACTAGTGATGCTCTGGAGTCATTACAATCAAACGGAACGCACCAGCGTTGGACGTATAGGACTCTGGGGGTTAGACTCGAGTAACCAACCGCTTTTACCCCTTTAGCCGGGCCTGTATTTTTGTGCTTTGTTCCTTACAGTGAGATTCCGTCAAGCCCTTTAGGCAAGTTCCTCCCCTAAGACGGCCCAAGCCAATATCCGTTACTCACAGGATGCGCTTGTGCTATTGCTAGAAAAGTCCCCTCTAAGTATCACTGTGTATATTTGCCCAACTATATCCAATTGAGATACCACAAAAATGAGCAACGAACTACTTTCGTCTAGGCTCTTTAAGGAAAGCGAAAATATCATTAAATAAAACAATAATATTTAAGCCGACGAACAGGCGGATATTAAGTGTTTGTGGGTAACTTGCGTAGTACCTAGCTGTGTTGCCAATCTTCTTTTCTTGACTCTTCCACTGAATTAAATAAAACCACTTATTCCAAGTTATTTTTATTTTTCTTAATAAAATCTTATACTAACAAAGACAGGTAGAGATCGCACTATAATAAATGGATTTCAACAACAGTGCGCTATTACAATAAATAAATATTCACTAACAAACGTAAACAAAATGACTAGATTAAAATATACGTTCCGCCAGTGTTAATTAGGAAGGTGGAAATACTACAAAGGTATCTACGAAATCAAAGGTAAATCACAAATCACGTCACATTCACCTCAAGAGTTTGAACAAGCGAGTTTTAAGCAAATAAATATAAACGATTGGATAAAAAAATGCGATTTCAAACCAAAAACTTTATCGCCCGATTAGTAGAAATGCAAAATGTGCCCAACATCCAATCCTATGTAAAAAAAGCGGGTTTTATTGCGTAGGTTTCAACTCTTGGGCATTCCCTGGGGGGTGGCAGTTTCGACCATCTTCTTGTATTTCCCGACAAGCTCAGGAAGGTCGTAGGCGATTGCCACGTCCAGCTTGGTGATGGGGCAGCCACGGAAGTACGTGCAAGTGGCCGATAGCTGCTGGAACTCATACAGAGGGTTCAGACGGAAGAAGTCTCTGTAGGTGTCAGGGTCGGGAAGGTCGTACCTGGAAACAAGAAATAATTAATAGCTATTTATTAGGCAGTAAAATAATTACTGTATAATGTCGTGTATAAATTTTTGTTCGAGTTTGTTCCAGTTATTTTCTTTCCACGGCGTATCTCGAGATGATAACACACATAATAAAGATATTTAACAGCATACATACCTAGAAATGTTAGTAAGCGTGCTGAGACCCTCGTAGATGTGATAATTCTGAGGACTCTCAATAATGGCGTCTGCAATCAGCTTCCTGTTGCCGAAGATCGTCTTGTGGTTGTAGTAGGTGGTTAGGTAACAGTCCACCATTTTAGCGTGGTTCCTTACACGCACCTGTCATAATTATATTTAAATAATTTAAAATTTCTTTTAACATTTTATTAATAATTGTTTATAACGCGAAGTGTTAAAACGTATAAGAATATATTGAAATAGGAGAATGTATTGAGTATATGGATATAGGTGACAAGGTTACGAAAATAATTAAATGTTAAAAAGCTCCATCCAGCATCCAGGAGCTCACGATTAAATATTAATTTAGAAAGTAACGCTTAGAAAAAATAATGAATGGTTGCAAAAACGGCGCTTGAATACATGACAGAGAATTGCACCATTGGCCAGAATACATGTTCAAAGAGTCTAAGAACTCCGTTCAAGATTTATATATTAACTACAAAACTTTTATATGTGTAGCATATGATATTAATCAATCTAACATAACTACTAAAACCAAATACTCACAGCAAACCGCCGAGCGCTGGCAATTTTGTTTTCAATGCGCCTGTCTATCGCTTGTCGCAGGTCACGCAAGAGCTCGCGCTCTTGAGCCTGCAGCAGCCTTACAGGAGCGGATACTTCAAAGGGCATAGACCAGAGAGACACAGTGTACATAACCGGAGGCTGTGGTGAACTCATGAGGGGAGAAATGTTCCAAATTAATGCACTCTGTACCCGCATCAGCTCTTCGGGTTTTACAATGTCTGCTTTGTTAAGGACTATACGCGTCTGAAACAGAAGCAAAGGTATCTTCAATTTTTACGGCATATTAAGTCTAACGAATATATTATTTTTTCAATACTTAGTCATGCAACATTACAGAACCTTTAACAATTACATCGGTGCGTTGTAATTTGATGACTTAAGAAAGCTGAGTAAACAAAATATATATTTAAACGCGAATTCTCTAAATTTTCTATTTTGCCATATACAAACAAGCGTTGGTGGTGTAATGGTCAGCATAGTTGCCTTCCAAGCAGTTGATCCGGGTTCGATTCCCGGCCAACGCACACTTTTTAATTTTTCTATAAAATCATTGCATTTTCTATTGAACATTTTCAGTTGAACTTTTGGATACGCGTCTTATATTATCGGAACAATGTAATAATAGTTTACGAACTCATAAAGGTCGAATACGCCCACATACCGCCTTGAACAGGTTCAATCTACAAAATGTTATATATTTACTACGAAAGATAATATTTTATAATCTAGTTCAAGAATTTCAACCGCAGCGTTTATTTATTACTTAGTGAGCAATACAAACTGGTGTTTACGTACGACCTGAAGGTGCTTCGTAGATAATCCAATAGTTTCGTTATTATAATAGAATGTTATACGGTAATATTTTAATATCTAGGTCTAGGTGTCACTTTATCACAAATGTTTAATTAGATAAATAGACAATTCCCTAATACTTAATAAACACACACACGTGCGCGTTATGTAATATCATCTATAGTTAAATTGTATTAGTTAAGGTTTTTAAATATTTCCAAAGCGTACATTCAGGAAAGCAATTAAATAATCAATTAGTTTTAGATGGTGAGTTTAAATTGAATTAAATATGTTTTAGACATAGTTACGACGTAGTGACATTTATAACGAAATTATATTGTAACAAAAAAACTAAATAAATAATCGATTAATATTCGAATTCTACGCAGACGTTGTTAAAGGCCAGACGAGACACTCAAAGTGGTATTTAAAACGAGGTCAAACTAAATTTAAAATTTATTAAATCGAATTACCTGAGATTCCCTGCCTTTTAGCTGATCTAGAATAGCTTCTGTTTCCGGGCCAACGTCGAGTTTAGAAGGATCATACACAAGGAATATAATATCTGCGCGGTCAATGAACCACTGGCAAGCATCATTGAAGGGGAACACTCGGGATACTTGCTTCCTTACTTCCAATATGCCAGGTATTTCTACGATGTTCACCTACAAACCAAAAGTGTAATTTTCGTAAGTTTTGCCAGCTCCTTCGTTGCATTGACAATTTCAAATATTCTATTTGTACAGAAGAATTTGTGAACACGAAAATACTCTGATACATTTTTATGTTCATTTAATTTATATTTAGAACAGTTGATGAAAACTTATAAAGAGGTAAAATGTTGCTAACCTTCTCCAATAACTTGCTGGGATACCTTAGACCCCTTAAGCGTTCTTCCAATCCTTGCCCGAATTTTTGAAGCCCAGAAAATGTCCAATCAGCGGCTAGCTGAGTGCCATCTAAGACCTCAGGGTCTTTACCGTGCATCAAAATGTTGAAATAAGCTGGTGATGGTTCTGCCCCTGTTCAATTAAAAAACTTGTGACGTACCATGTATATATCTAGTTAGTAGATTATTACAGTTGTCTATTGCCAGCAAGAGGTTGATAATAAATCTATTACAATTATTCAAAAACTTCATACGTGCTTCGAATACTAACTTTTTACTTGAACAACGCTTGGGACTATCCATCGAACTAGCCGAAGCAAGATATTCTTCAATATCGAAATTGCATGTACTTTTATAAAATAAAGTCACTTACCAGTTCTCAACGACCATTCAGTGAATTCCAAGCCAGTAAGATAGTTCAATATACTCGATTTTCCACCACTCCAGGGTCCCATGAAGAGTACTAAAGGCTTTGAGAAGATTTCCGGATCGCCGAAATGCCTATTACTTAAATCTCTGTACTTGTACAGAACTTCTAACGGTTTTATTGAACTCTCGTAAACCCGTTTCAAGTCTCGAAGAACGATATCAGCTGATTTCTCGATAATAAGTTCTGATTCACTTGCTTCTTCATCTAACCTTAAGACTTGGATGATGTGTTCACGGCTTCTTAAATTTTCGGGTATTTCTCCAATCTGAGAACAATGTAAATTGCTTTTTTATTAAATTTAATTTGGATTACCTACAGCAAAAGATTATCATGATCAGCCATGGATCATTTTGTATGTAAAACATGCTTTTACAATAGACGGTTTCCGATTTCCGATTTCCGAAAAAGATAATATATTATTATATTTGAAAGTGTTACAAAAAAATTTCATTGCAAAAGGCAAGATACAAAATCGTCTGAAAGAGGTCCTGATTTCATGGTAGGTTTTATTACAAATAGAGATTTACCAGTAATAAATCTTCTTCAGGAGCACCTTCACCTTCTTCAGAAGCCTCTTCACTTTCTTCTTCAGGTGCTTCATCTACATTTTCTTCAGATGCTTCGTCAGTTTTTTCTTCAGATGCTTCAGCTGTTTTTTCTTCTGAACCAGTTTCCTCAGATTTGTCACCGTCTTCTGCCTCAGTGTCTTGTTGTGTTTCTTCTGCACTTTCCTGCGTTTGTTCTACGGACTCATCCTTTTGGCTTTCTTCTTTTTCTTCTTCAGATTGAGCTTTGTTTTCTTCAACTTGTGAGGAGTCTGTTTTATCTTCTTGAGAATCAACATCTTCTTTGCTTTCTTCCACAGCCTCATCTATTTCAGCCTTTTCTTGAGATCCATCTTCCTCGGTTTTATTTTCCTCTTTACTTTCTTCGCCATCAACTTCTTCGCCTTGAGTTGGTTCTTCTTCAGATGCTTCAGTAGATTCTTTTTTATCTTCTTCCTCTGCAGAAGCTGCGGTTTCTTCACTTAATTCTTCCCGAGTGTCTGTCTCTGTCTCTTCAAGACTCTCACCGCCATCTTCCTTGCTATTTTGTTCGTCCTGTTCTTGTGATTCTTCTTTAGTATAATCTTCAGGGCCTACTTCTTCATTACTCTCATCTTGGGTTTCGGATTCTTCACCACTTTCTAAAAGAATTAGTTAAATTAAATTTAAATTTCACATTTCAATAATATATATGTATTACATTACAATCGACGTTACAATCGTACATCATTAATTAATTTAATCATCTTCATCGTTCAAAATAATTTACTTCAAGTAAAACTAAAAACGTGTAGTTTATAAATCATGAAATGAGTTTTTTTATTAAATTTACACTTACCATTTTCGTCTTTTTCCTCAGCAGATGCTTTTTCTTTACTGTCTCCGTCATCTTCTGCTGTTTGTTCATCACTCTCTTCTGTGATCACATTTTCCTCTACTGTAGCATCCTCTTTCGATTCGTTTTCGTCTGGGCTTTCTTGTTCGTCTTCGTAGGAGACTTGGGACATGTACGGCTCATCCGCTACTTCTACGGATGGCGCATCATCTTCTCCGCTATCTATTTGTTCTTGACTTTCTTCTATTAAACCTCCATCTTCTGTCGAAATGTCTTCTTTTGTTTCACTATCTATACTTAATTCACTAGAATCTGGCTTCTCTGCAGTATCTGAAATATTAGGTTTCATTATTTAATTGCTTTATTTGCTATAAATTATTATCAGAGTATTCGGTCACCATAACATTACACTAAAAATAAAAATTGGTCCCCAGCCAAGAGTTGTCGAATAAACGTGACTAAGTATACTACATCTATGAAATTATATTACACTACGCTTACAATAATTATGTAATGGTAATAATATGATTTTTTGTCGAGGCAATCTACCGGTAGAGATAGGACTAAATTAAGCAACTACCGCGCAATTTTAAATCATAATAAGAATTGTCCAAAAATATAAAATTCTCGTGAAGGATTTATAAAAAAAAGATTCTAAATATTTGTTTATCATGTCTAATTTCAGCTTTAATTAAGAAAGTCCCAATTTTATAAAAAAAATTATACAACAAAAGTAAAATTGAAAAATGTGCAGGGGCATGAAAATTAGCCTAGTACAGCCACTTCTTGTTATAATAATAAAGTTTACAAATATTGAAAGTTTTTATAGAACCTTATTTTTAAGTGTCGATAATATCACTCACGTATATCAATTTAAATATAGAATGATATACACTTATATTAGCTAACAGATAAACATGCTAGTAGTAAAGTAGAGTCAAAGCCAAGGAGACAGAAAATACGCAAGGATAGTTTGTGCTAATTTTTGTAATTCTTAGCTGGGGTAGTCTATTATTACTGACCAACGCAATACGCATGTCGATGACGTTCGCTGGCCCAGTTAAAATAGAATCAACGAGAGATCAATGTTGATTTAAATGTTATTTTTGTAGTTTATAGATACGCCGTATGTAGAACACGATTTGATAAAGGCTAAAAAACCCTTGATCTAAATTTACGCAGATAGATATATAATTAAATTTCGCATGAACGTATCATTAGATAGTTATAATCTCAATGTAAATACAAAATCAAATTACTTTGTTAATACCTGGTTCTGTGTCTCCTGACTCTAGCTCCTTTAGAGCCTTTTCGATGTATGGACGGCATTGTGATTCTAAAGGTACGTCGTCATCAGCTGTAACAAATAATACAATATTTAATTTAACCCCACAGAACGTTACAAAACATATTTTACAGTGGACCCAGCGATACTTTTTATCAGTACCAGGCATAGTGTAGCCACAATTTTATATAAAATTTTGCCTACTTTTCTCTTATATAATTTTATTCAATTGCGATTTTATAGATATATATATATTATAGATATTGTTTAATCGTTTAATCGGTGCTCAGTATTCAGGACTTCTGAACCATCGGAATAAATTAATACCAAGGATGTTTTCCGTATTCCTAAGAAAAGTGGTCCATTCCCTGTGTTTGTGCTTCTTCTAAATTTGTTTTACACTAAAGAATTAAATGTTTGCAATGTTTTATATTAATGACGATAATTTTAAAAGTGTTAATGAATGGGTATTCCAAATGTTCTGAATAATAGAACCATTTGAAATAAATAAATATTTATAACGATTGAAAAGCTATATATATATGTATGCTTACATTATATTTACATAAAAAGTTATGTTATTCTTTACTCCATATTTTTATTTATTGTTCTTAAACGTATAATTAAAAAGGAATAAAACTCTAACTACTTCGCTTTAACCTGGCAAATACATGCATTCTAAAGAAGTCAAATGCTGTATGCATTTTCAATTAGGAACTATAACAATATTAAACATTTCATCAAAATTGTCTTTTTAATAACTTCGTTTATTCTAAAACTAAAAATGTTCCATTTCACGAGTGACGACTTACCTATAAGCGAGAATCACGACGCGGCGGCGCTTGTTTTGTATTTTTCATGAGATATTTAAGTTAATATCCTGAAAGCTATCAATCTAATTAAAAATCCTTTAGGTACATTTGACCTATTCGCTGCAAATTCAATACATTTCACACCTCGCTCATCCAGATTGGTCCATGAACGAAGGAGCTGGACTTAATAACCTCCTCCATCGGTTACTTAGATGTTGTAGATAGATAGTGAGATATGCGTATGCGGAGCTGAGAAGATTCAAAGACAATTTTATCTAATCTTCCAGCGATCCAGGCATCCAGCGTTAAGTTGTCGGAAAAGGAAGTAGCCTGTTTTTGATTGATATGGTATCAGGACTATAAAAGATAAAGGAAGTTGTTTTCTTGGTTAGTATCTGTAACTGCATCTAAAATATGGGTCAAATTTACTGCTTATCAGAAATTTATTTACTTCCACTAAACTTAATATATCGTTGATATCTGTTTCATTCAAACTCACCAAGATTCAAATTTCATCGGTAGCTAACAAGCTGAATTGACATTTTATTTCTAATTCGATCTTTATTTTTAAAGTAAATAGACAATCATCTCATTTCGGGAACTGAATGAGTAAATCATTTCGTCATATGCGTAATTAGTCGGTAGCTAGGAGAAAAGTTTTGACTATAATTAACATTTACATATCTTATTACTTTTCGAAACATAAAATGTCGCGTTCGTTTTTTTACCTATAAAACTGAATTTGACACATTAGCAAAGCAATAACATCAATTTCGTTCTCCTCCTCTTCTTCAGTAGCAACTACCATCCGATCATAGAAGTACTTAGAATATTCTTTATATTTTTCGAGTTTAAATAATTAGTACGTTTATTAGCGAAGATTTGTTTGGTATATCGTGGGTTAATTAATACAAAACCGAATCAGTACGTAGGTACACTTTGTAGACATTACACATATTAAGGTTGCCTATATGATTTAAGTTTGTTAAAAAATCAACATAAAAACATTTCTAAGAATTAGGTAATATTTAAAAAAAGCGTCACTCTGAAGGACATAATATATCTAACCCAGCTTTTACCTCAAACATTTCGGGTCAGGGTTAAACGTAGAACAACAGTTGCTGTTTCGAAAATAGAATTTTAATTTAAGTCATGAATCCTCAATCACGTCAAATCTTTAGGAATTTTATACCTATTTGTACTTTTGTATTTTTTATATTGTTAATTTTATTCAAAGACTAGTACCTACTCGTAGATTTCGTTCCCACGCAAGTTGTTCAGTTAATTAATTTCATAGTTTAATAAATTAAACATACATTAAGAACAGAGTTTGTTCATTAATGAGTATTCAACATAATTTACCGTCTATTACTTTATTTCTAAATGATATTTGTCCGCTTTCTGTTTCAGCTTCCAGCCTTGCTATTGTCCATGCTGCTTGTATATCTGGTTTGAGAGTGATAAAAATGATAACTCGGCTTGGCAAAATCAAATCGGATTTAATATCTGTCAAACCACGTTTAGTTTTGAATTTTTTGATAACGCTCTTTAAACTTGTATAAATTATATTAAGTCTACTTGCAATTTGAAGTACCTAATTTACTTGCTGTCATCAAGATATCATTTCTACATTGGTACGTAGATGAATATTGTTACGCATATTATGTATTTCTTACTATTAGGATGTTGTAAAATAATAAAAACTGCAACTCAATAGTTGCAATGTCCCATATGGATGAAGACTCAATAACTAATGCAAAATCATGACCTATTTGTATTGTGTCACTGTTATAATATCGTCTTGATCCTATCATTTTTCACAAGATGGCGACGCAGCGACAAATCCCTGTACTTCTATTTATGTAAGTAGCTATGACGGGCTAACGTCTGGCGACCATCTTCCATTGCTCTGTTTTGATTAATATGAGATAAGTACTTGTTAAGACAGCTAATAGTTATTAAATCAGATCCCCTCGAAGTGAATATTCGCTTAAGGTTATCGCCAGAAATAGAGCGCAAACGCGCTTTTTACATAATTTCAGCGCATGTTACACCGAAAATAGCATCAGTGACGCAGCGCGGGCGTAGAGAGCAAACGTCCCACTCCTTTAGTTTAAGCTCGAGTTTGCCGGGCAGACAGATGCACCAAATAACTCACCTCTCGCAGCGAGCGCGAGCGTCGACACGGCAAACAGTATGCACAGACACCTCCATAGTTTTAACCTCTTGGTCCACATTGTTAACGTTCAGGAGTACCGAACTATTCAGTCATTTGCACTCACACAAATTCGTCGGACGAACACGGAACACATCTACACTAAAAACAAGAATCTCACTCTCCAACCCGAGTTGCAGCAAGATGCAGCTCGCGTTAGATCTCCATTGAAATGCGGTCAGCGATTCCGGAAAATGTACGAATTGAATGATCGCTCTGTGACCGCATTTAAATGGCCGTGATAACGAGAGCGGATCGCACGCGACTGTGCACTCAGACGTACTCTATTTCCGGAGACAGCACAGCATCGCTGGTCGAATTGGTACTGGCGCAAGAACAGTGGCGGAGCTGGGAGAACTCGTGCCAACCGGGGCGGGTAGCGGGAGGCACAGGGACACTCTATTCACTCCTATACAAACACATCAGTTTCTCGACTGAAAAGACCGCTTTATTCTGCAGAGTAAATATGATCGTTTGCTATGCAAGAATTTTATAAGGATTATTATGCTAGATAATTAAGTCAGCGTATACTTTTATACAAGACAGCTTAATTTAGGGTAAGATTCAGAGATAAGACTGGTCCCAAGAATACCTACCATACCTATTGGGTATCTCCATACGATTTCAACATACGGGAATATAACATAACCTATTTCTTACTTTTACTTTATAGGTTATAATATATCCAAAACGCACGATCGGTAATCGTTATACACAAAGGGTTTTCCACATTCAAGACATACAACACGGACTACGGAATAAATTCGTTTCCAAACTAGAAATTACAGCCAAAAGATAAAGATTACAGGAGATGAACTACTTTAGTGAGTGTGAGCGATGATTGGTGCTGTGATTAATATCATGTCGCTGTAGAATATCAGTTGGCACGGTTCAACACCACCCGCTTGAATATCTCAAACCAGCATTCCACGGATCATCGCACACCCTCAAACGTAATTTTTTACATATCATCTTTGTTTTATCACCCTTAATGTAATTCTAACGGTTAGATTAAGAGTCCTGACTTAGCGATAAGTATGTCAAAAATGTAGGTATTGAATTTGATAAAGTCAAACTTTTTTATAAAACGCCAACGGGCAGGAATCTCATCGAATGTTAAGTGATACCGCTTAATTATAATGGGCCAATACACTCTCAATGCCGGCCTTTTTAAAAATGGTATGCTCTTTTCTTGAAGGACCCTATGTCGAATTGTTTCGGCAACGGGCAGCTGGTTCCACATAGCGGAGGAACTTACCGCTAAGTTAAGTCTTGAATCTGAAACTAACCCTAGAGCATCGAAACTTTTTCTATAAAAAACCAATGTAAGTATAGATACCGGCAAACTTCTTGAGCATGAAACAAGGGAGTGGGGGAAAGTTTGCGCATCGCGGGAATCAAACGTCAACTGATTTACTAATAATGCGATCGAAACGTCACTCTCCCACCCTGTGATACCTAAAAAACCGCTTCTGCGCAGGCAAGGACATTTGCTCAAGATGTTTGCCGGTATCTGTATATGGAATAAAAATGGCTTAAAGATGTTAAATCTCAACCCAGGTCCAAAAATTCCAGACCAGAAAGTAGATATTTCCATATAAAACTCATTTGAGTAGTGCATGGCTGTGTCGCTTCAGGTTTTTTTTTTCTGTTAGAGACAGTATATTATTTCAGACATTCGAAAATTCAGTATAACTTTAACTAATATATAAGTGTTAGTTATAGGTAACGTACTAACGCCGTCTTCGTCTTCAAGATTAAATTTTACACAGAACATTATATTTAAAACATATTTTAATACGACAAACAATGTATTAGGATGGGGTAGAAGTAATTATCTTTTACTCTTTAACATTGTTTAAAAAAAATTCTCCAGAGATACAAAGTTAATTTATATAATTTAACAACAGATATATCTGTTGTCAACAATATATTGTTTTGTAAGAGCAGCCAAATATACATGCATGCATCAAAAAATATTTTTTAAAATTGTAGTTTGTCTACATATTGGCTCAAAATTTGCAAACCACTGAATCCAGGCACAAAACAGGAAACCACAAAAGAATTTTCAAGGTTTTAATATAAAATAAATAGTAAAGACAATTCTGAAAAACTTACTATAATTTTATTTACTTTAAAACTTATCTTACTTAATGATCAATAATAATTAATTCATCTATACTCCAATCTTCATAAGAATGGTCGGGGAGATATCGCCTTATTACAATAGGTATTTTACGTTGCTTAAGCTCTTTCATTGCTATTTGTAGAGGATCGGTCTCTCCTTCCAATTCGACCATAACCGGAGCACACATGGCTATTTGGAGGGCTCGAGTACCTGGAAATAGACCATTCCTCCAAATTGAATAACAATAAACTAACTAAAATAAAACACACCCTTGACAAATATAAAGCTCTAAATTAGGCATTGAAAATTTTATCATTGTGCATGTCACATTCAAATAGATAAATGATAATGAAATAAACAACAAAAAAAAATTAATTGATTGAAATTATAGAAGTTGCTTGTTGACATATTAAGATTTATGGGAAACACAGGAAATTATAAATAGTTCTTAAAATAATGAAAAGAACAAAACCCTCTTTCAAAAGCATTATTTAGCTTTAAAGTGTAAGGAAATGTTGAGTAGTAATCTTAAATAATTTTTACTCATCTTTCTCAACAGCCTCAATGGGTATGTATACCAAGGTATTAAGTATTAATAATATCTTATATATAGATTAAAATGGGTTTCAAATCTTAATTGTGAGTAAACACAAAATAGAACTAGTTTTATCAGACAATATAATAGATAAACTTATGATTGGATTTAAAAGAAGAAAAAGATATGACGTATATGAAGCATGTTAACTTTGTTATAATTTGAACACATAACCAACAAGATATTGCATGGTAAGATAAGTTTAAAATTGCAAAATTTAAATAAATAACTTATTTAAAAAATATTATTTGGGGACAGAGAAAGTAAAATTCAAGTTTAATTTAGTGGGTATGTTTTTGTTCTTATGTATGAACTGAATTGTAAGACAAGCATAAAATAGCTGTACCTAATACTCTAGCTCGTTCATATTTGGTCATATATCTAGTAGTAATTCTCTTTGATTTTTCAACTCCTCCACCAGCTTGACCCGGGGCAACGCACTGGACATTGTAGCCCTCTTCCTCTTGCTCCTCAGTCTCTTCTATGTTAGTGTCCTCTTCAACCATATCATCATAATCTCCACCGCCGTCATCGCCATCATACTCTTCATCAGCCATGGTTAAGAGTGACTTTTTTATGAATATATTTTTGGGAAGTTTTAACCAACAATATCTGAAATTAAAAACATTAAACAACTAACAAGTCAGATTCACATTTCACAATTCACGTCGTTCATATCTAATGTACTCTTAACTCTATGGTCAGATTACAGAGTATATTATAGAATATAGAGATATTCTAAAATAAAATTACAGATCTACGTCCACAGACTATTAAGAAGGAAGCATTAGTAAATTAACATAAAATCAATTTTTTATTTTTTTTATAATTTTATGGCCTGGTAACGAGACCTTTAAGCCAACATAAAATCAATAATTGGAAGTAAAAAGACTAGAATACTAGCGTCGAATTATATTTAAATTTAAATGTTCATAAAATTAAGAACTCATAACTGTAATCGTGAAATTTAAAGTAATCAAAAACTATGTAATAAATAGCCATATAAAATAAATAGATTCATGGTTTTATTACGTTTAATTAATATTATTTTTTATTAAAAAATATTTTTTTTTGATGCACGCTACATTCTACAATCTTTGGTTTGATTTCAAAATTGTCTCTGTCAGACTCAAGTGTGACTAGCATTAAAAACGATGCCTAAATTAGGCGAAACTATAATGAAAATAGTTTTTATCTCAAACCCAATAATTTTTAAAATATTCATTAACGATAAATTAAATAAATTATATCTAAGTTTGAAACTTTGTACTTAAAAATATTGTAAAATATTACAGCGGAAGCTTGACAATTTTACTTTGTAAACCGTATTTTTTTTTTCTAAAATTTAGCAACTTTCTGGACGTACTTATTGTTTAAATAAAATTATGAACGAATCTGACGAATTTTCATTATTTTAACCTGCATGCTAATATTCTACAAATTACATTTTGATCTCCTCAGTATATATATCATTAATATACATTTGTTCATTTTGTGGTACTTTTTCATTTTTACATAAGCAACACTGATAGTTTCCCTTTTCTGGTTTTGCATTGAAGCTGAAACCATGCCGGTGTGTATATTTAAATATTTAACAGTATTAATCAAACATTAAGTAACTATTTTGTGTTATATGAAATATGTAAGTCACGAGACGTGTTTGGACAATCTACGAAAGTATGATCCAAAACGGAGGAACTTGCAAACCAAGATAAACACATGGCACTATTTGACGTTTCAAATGGATGCCCAAAAAACTCAAAAATTCAAGAAAATAAGAGTGACAGTGTTGTGAACTTTTGAATTTATACTTAAAACGTTAATGTGTTAACTTCTACAATAGATTGTTTTAACTCGAATGTGATTAAAAAAATAACCTAAACTGTTTCTATTTCAGCTCGCAATTGACTTATTGCACCCATCCCCAGCGTCGGAGAGAAGGAAGCACAAGCTTAAAAGGCTAGTGCCCCACCCTAACTCATATTTCATGGATGTGAAGTGCCCTGGATGTTACAAAATTACCACTGTATTCAGCCATGCACAGAGGGTCGTCGTTTGCGCAGGATGCTCAACGATCCTTTGCCAGCCCACAGGAGGTCGTGCGAGACTAACTGAAGGTAATATTTAAATTAAACACAAAATTATGTGTATTTTAAAAACCCTGAAAACAACAATAACATATAGTATAGTATGTATGTGTAACATGAAAGAAGTTAAAGATATTATAAAAGCTTTTCATATATTTTCAGTTATTTTACATTGCACAAATTTTATTAAGTGCAATATTTTATGTTTTTGTTACATAGTTATCTCTTAACATGGTATTAGGTATGTTGCTCTTTTACTTTCATATATACTATGTATTAAAAGAATACTGCTTCATTCAAACTTTTATTGATATGATTTGCAATAGGCATCGAAATATAATAAACTAGATATCATTGTTTATTATTATTGTATAGTTTCTGTGCAATATTGTGAAATCTGTAATGATTAATCAATCAGACAGCTGAAAAGTTATTTTGTTACACACTTATCTTTGTAACTACTGGTTTCAAGAAATTGTTTGGTAGTTCATTATTAATGAACGCCAGAGGTCATTAAACATAAATTTACTTGACCTTACCAGTAATTTCTATCTGTATAAAAATTAATATGGAGAATTTTTTTTATTGTAAGACTTAAATTATAAAGTATTAAATAGTAAAAAATTGCCAAATTATATTAGAAGTTTGTTTTATAAGTACTTAATTAACATATAATGTTATTTCAGGGTGTTCATTTAGAAGAAAACAACACTAAGCCGCCTGGAGAGAGCCCTAATTTAAGATTGCATTTTTATTTCTGAAAGTATGAATATTTTTCTTATTCATCTTATTTGTTAAAGCATTATAAATAAAGGCTTTTTCAAAGGGTAATTGAGTTTTTAATTTGTTTTATTATATGTATATACATTTTTAGCTATCCTGTTTGCATAATATTAGAATTTAGGGCAGTAATTAAAAGGTACAATTGTTGGAATTGAACATAAATTTTCGAAAATTTGTTTAAAATAAACGAGAGGTCATAAAAGTAAGGTAAAAATGTTGCTTGGTTTGTCGGTTGACCGGTTGACAAACTCTGACAAACTTTGGAGTGCTGTAACAGCATTTCACATTAACGAAATTTAATTAAGTATAGAGGAAACTCTTCAGAAAGAGATCCTCTACAAAATTGTTGTGACATAATTTTTTGATAAAATCAAAAGAAAAATGAATTTTTTTTTCACTTTTTTACTTATTTTTTATGATAAAATTCACACAGACTTAATTGTTGGCAAAGCGTGTTTTCACTTTTCACCCGTTTTTTCAAGATGGCGGGGGTCGAGGGCGTCAACCCCACAAAGTGAGCGTCAGAATGGCTGGTCACTAGTCGTGTAGAAGGTTAAAATGTCGTTTAAAAAAAAAATTACTTCCCAATTGCTTCTATTTAATTCCTACTACAAGACAATTGCTTCCTTAGTATCTTGGGAGAACCACAACAATTTTAGTGACCGTCCATTCTGACGTTTGATTGATTTTGCTTCCTATTTGCTTCTTCCTGGGTTTTCCATCCTCGATGCTGTACCTATCATGGAATTAAGATATCGAACAATGTTATTACAATACCCCTCAGCGCCTGGTAAAATTATACAGGCAAAAAATATTTGGCTAAAATAAGTTTAATTATGGTTTATTTATATAAATATAGGTAGGTAGGTAGTAACAGAACCCCTAACTATATGTACTTTAACGGTAAAAACTTTCACAAAGTAAAGGAATAACTTTTTTTTTATATTGAATACAAGAGAAAATAAAATAAAATTAATTGGTATAATAGAAATAGGTAAATACTCATTCATTAATTTTTCTTAAGTCTTTTTAATTAATTTAATCTTATCCCTTTTTTTTTAACGTATACAATACAGTGTGGAATTATTTTTTTATTATAACTTCTTATTATCCTTGTATTCATATCATCGTAGCATTGCCATACATTTTCACGTCTACAATTTGCTTTATAGTGGCCCATTGTACCAATAGCAGGCGGAACAAATTCAATTATTGAAATCAATTCATATTCGTTACCCTGTAAAAATAGGTTTGTTGGTGCTTCATAAACAGAAACAGTTTCATCCGATATTTTAAAACTAATAATGTTGCGTAAGATCAGTTCAAATGATTTGATACCATCGCAAGTTGCTTGACGGCATGGTATAAAGGTAGGTGTATCGAGCATTTGTCTATTCACTGCTTCTTCAATATCGTTTACCTACATGTGTATCATGTAAACGTAAAACAGACACTTTTCTAACTACTTCATTTATAGGGCAGGTTGAATTAGTGCACGACGCTTTTTCATCTGCACTGTAAAGAGAACACTCAAGCAGAATTCCATCAAATATATATATATATTTTTTTATATAAGTCTTTATCTTGCAATCAGTCAGCAAGACTATGAGCAGATGTGTTGAGAACTGTTAGGCGTTCAAAGCAAAATCTCCATCGAGACTGCTCCTCTCTTTCAACCGTGTCTATCAAGACTAAGGGTGAGATCTATAGTGCGCACTTGGACTTTGCTCAGACTTACCTTACGAAAAACTTTGCTTAGTGTACACTAAGGTTAAACTATGATTTCGTATTTATAGACATTTTAACGGTGAGATTAAGCTAAGCCCAAGCTAAGACAGAAAATGTCAAAATACAAATTGATGTTTCATTTCATGCAATACTTTGTTTATTATCCTTTAAAAAAGTTAACGATAACAAATATTTAAAAATCTAAAACGGTACACATATATCTTCAATTTATTGTTATTTATGTATTCATTTATTTTATTATTGCAATAACTAGAAATTCACGAGTAACCTTTAGAAAATGTATTAATTATTTAAAGATGACAATAATTTTATTACGTAGAACGGATTGCAATGTTTTGACAACAGCAACAGAGCACTTGTATCAACTATCAACAATTGAAAATTTTAAACCACTTTAATTTATTAAATTGATCTTTCTTTCGTTTTGTGATTTGGCTTTGTTACATGGACCGCTTGGAAATATCAATATCGAAAGTGACATGATGGAGAGAGAGAGTTCTATCTTCAATAGAAAACATTGAAAGGGTAGGAACTGCAGCCGATATGAATCCACGAATGCCTAAAGTGTTGTATTTGTTCGGAACTAATAAAACCAAAATCCTTCCATCCTGTACGGTGAGAATGAATTCAAAAGAAGGAACCGTATTTTGAAACACACGGTATTAAATGTGATCCTGACGCTGATCATTACAAACTTGCTACCTTATAACAACAGAGGATCGCCAAACCTACCGCAATTGCAAATACTTATTGCATTAAGGCATAAAAATGCAACTGGATGTTTTCAGGTAATATTGTGTTCATAAATATGTATGGTTTTTCAATTTGATATATTATACCTCTTCTCAAATGATTTTAAATAGTACATATGTTGAAGACTTTTGTCTTCTGACTTTCAAACATAACATATATGTGACTAATAATACTTTATTGACATT